GTGCAGACGATCATGTTCAGAATCGCTAATCGATATTATCAAATTCATGAACGTGACCTTAATCCTACCAGATTTTCCTGGCGGACTATAGAGTTGTTCTTGACTATGATTGACATTATATTGCCCGCCATTAAGATATTTCAGTTGAATGGTTAGCGGTGTATAGAGATTTTTATTTCGTATTGCACCAAAGTGTTTATTAGCATTATCATCGCCAAGTAATTTTTGGTGAATAAAGTGAATTTCGCAGTTGTCAAAAAAGCTATAGGTATATAGAAAGGGAGTGTCCGGTGGGGAACTGAAGCCACATTGGTAACGGGAAGATTCAACCTAATGAAGGAGAAGGATGCAAGAATGTAGAAACGAGTAAACATTTTATTCAGATTTTTTTAAATCGATCCGTATTTTTTCATGTAAATCAACCTCAAAAGTCAAAAGTTCAATTGGGCACGGTGCATGGTCATCATAGCCGTGCGGAATTTGCCGTCCAATTCTTGAGGGTCGTTCGTGTGTTCGATACTTCGTGTCAGCTTGCTCATAAATATAATGCACTCTTAAAAAAAATATTGTCTTCTTGAAAAACATAAGCACTTTGAATTCTAAATTGAGTAAAATACATGCACTAACAATGGAACCTTTTTCAACCTCCACAGGGATTGTGTGGCGAGTTATGACACAAAATCAAGGCAAACATTGGGAGACACGTGACGCTTATCTTTCCGTTGAAGGGTCACTTCAAAGAAATTTGTTGGGCGTCAGAGTTCACACGCCCTCCTTGGTTCTCATCCCATGGAGGAAAATCGGCAGAAAATTTACTCAAAAATTGAACCTTATCGCCAATATTATTCTTCAAAGTCACTATTCAATGAAGAGGTAAGTGTCATGTTATTCCTTATTTTCGGCTTGATTTTTTGATATAACTCGCTAGACAATCCTGGTGTAGCTTGAAGAAATTGCAAGTCCAAAGTAAGGTTAACCTGATTAGGAGCAAAGTTTACTTAATACCGAATTCAAGATGCACTCACTTTCTCAAAGGGTTTAGCTTTACTTTTATCCCAAAATTAATTTTTAAGCGTGTACTTATCTTTATGTAAAGAATTCGATATTAAGTAAACTAAACCACATAAATTCAGAGTGAATATAAGCATATATGCTTATATTTATTTATGGTTTAAATTGTGCCGTCAAACACTTCTTCGTGACAGCACATACGTATGTATTCAATACTAACTTATTAATACAACACGTTGCGTGTAGTATGTTGAAAGTCAAGTATTGACAGGAATACATATTCCGAAAGAATACTTAGGATATTCATGTATGTAAATACATATGTTTTACATTTTAGGATGATTAATTTCCAGAGCTTGTAAAAATAGAAAAACTGGAAATATTCTGGAAGTTTCTCGTCCTACAAGGTGTACATATGTGTTTTTACTTTGATTATGGCCTATATGACATTATTTAGTATCAACTTTTTGGTCCACATAGCTGTGTACGTAACTTGGTCAACATTATTTCTGCGACGTGAGACGTTTACTTTCTACGTATTATCATGCTAAATGTGGAATTTTAAATTGTAACGTATGCATTAAGTTCCAAGGACCTGTTACGGACGGTGTATGTAGATAATTGCGGCAAAATCCCACCCTAATTTTTTTTTCATTGCTTTATTTCAAATGATATATGTATGAACAAATTTAAACAATCTTTACACACAACTGAAAATTAGGGGAAATTCTCAGATTTTAGCTTGTATCGCGAAAACTGTTTCCTCCCCTTAATATTATTACGGATATGTCATGTACACAAATTTTAAACTATCATGCATTACAATTGTTGGAAGCCAACAATGATTTCATTGTACATATGTATTCTAATAAGTAGGGTTGCCGCGGGTAACGGGTCGGGTACCCGTTACCCGCATACCCGCACGATTCTTGCGGGTACCCGTTACCCGCATACCCGCACGATTCTTGCGGGTACCCGTCTTCTGCGGGTAGCGAGAACTACCCGCACGGGTAACGGGTAGTTCTGTTTTTATTTAATTCTCGACATATATCAGTTCACAAAGAAAGCTAGCAGCAAGTTAGTCCATTTACCAACAAAAGCGTCAATTTATTATTTATCTATTTCAAACTTTGCTATTTTCCAGCAACTAGGGTTTATAGCGTGCGTGTCTTTTCGGAAGCCACGGAAGCCTATGGCAGCCTGATATGCTTTTCACGTCCCTAAAATGAAATTATTGTTTCTCAAGTAAAATTTGCCTGCTCTAAAATCTGAGTAACAATTTGACTTGTATTTATTTATGTATTTATTTGTATTTATTTTGTATTTATTTATTTGTGTAAGACTGACGAGATTTTAATTTGTTCGTTGAAGATGAAAAACCTGAATCCGATTGAAGGCTAAAATTTTATTTGTAGATATTTTTAAAATGAAAACTTAAATTTAAATCAAAATTTCAAAAAAAATCAAACTAAAAGTTGAACCTTTCTTCAAGCTACACCAAGATTATCGAGAGAGTATATTAAAAAGTCAAGCCAAAAATTAGGAATCACATGATACTTTCCGTTGAATGTCCACTTTAAAGAAAAATATTGGAGGCAAAGTTCGATTTTTAAGTAAATGTTCAGCATCTTATTCCTCCACTGGACGAAAATCATGGTGGACTTTGAACTCTGATCCAAATAGTTTCCTACGGGCTATTCAAGGGAAAGATTAGTGATAATTCCTAATTTTTAACTTGATTTTTTGATATCATTCGTTAAGAAATCCCGATGTAGTTTGAAAAACGTTCCATTGCAAGTCAAAAAGTTTGGTTTCAGAACAACTGCGGATATTCCCATAGCAATTTACGGCATTCGTTACTTGCGTAGCATTATCTGAAATTACATATCAACCCAAATGAGCCAATTAATTAAATGGAATTTATTCTTAAGCCTGGTTAGGTTTTAAGTCAATTTTCATTACGGGTAGCGGGTAACGGGTACCCGCACGGGTACCCGTGCGGGTACGGGTAGTTGTGCTGCGGGTAGCGGGTCGGGTAACGGGTAGCATTTTCGCTACCCGCGGCAACCCTACTAATAAGTTATGTACACAGTGCACATATTCTCACTTTGCTTGAATCAAAACTTCTCAAAACTTTTATACGATCAGGGATATGTACATATTTGTGCATGCAAGCCTTCTGGTTCTTGCTATTTGAAAATAAACACAATTGACGAATTATCGCTCACAAAACTTTATCGTCATAAACGTTTCGTGGTGATGAGTTACATACATAATAGTGTCCAAATATACAAACAACAAAATATTGGAGGAGCGTCCAAATACTATGTCGTCATAAAAGTGGGAGGATAATTTTTGGTAGTCTATCCTATTAAGCTTAACATGAGCAGGATAGGAAAGAAGTGGGTTGGTGAGGATGAATTAGGGTTGGGCTAAGGATGGAATTATAAATTTCGAAAATTATTCCTGCTTCATGATAAGCTACGTAGATATATGGAACTGTAGATACACTCTTAAAAATCCGGTGTATATACATATGTGACTTCCAAATGCTGATAATTGTCTTTACCACATACTGAAAATCTTGCTCACAAATTGTCACTGTCTGGTGCTAATTAAATTACCATTTGGTGACAAATATTAATACCGTGTGCTCTATGAAAATGGTGTGATCATTTAAATAAGAGACTGCTTGCCAGAAGCTTTGCATGTAAAAACGCCTCTTATTTAAATGAGCACACCATAGTCATATTTGGTGACGATTAACACCAGATTTTTAACAGTGTTAATATGCATTTATTTACTCTTCAGGATACAGAACGTTGACTTTGGTTAAAAAATTGCAAGTCAACAAACACTACTGGGAAATTGTTATTGACATTCTACATCTCATCCTGGTCTCATCCATCTTGGTTGGCTATGAAATCCCAGGATGAGATGGGGTTAAGTAATTAAATATGCACATTTCAACCGACATCGACTTAGACGAAGTTAAGAGGAATTTTTGCTCGAGTATTTACATTGCTGTGTAAACGGTTCGATCAACAGCACACTAATAATTGTATTCGGATTGGAATGTATGTACTAAAATCAGCCAATACATACGTGGCTTGGCTTACAATGACAGGTTTATCTATATATAATGGGTGTATACCCTTAAAAATAATATGACTTTTGAAGAGTACTTAAATCTATTCTGAATTCTATATGCATCAACAATGAAACCAGTTTTTAAGCTACAACGGGATTTTATAGCGAGTCATGTTAAAAAATCTGGCTGAAAATTAGGAACCACATGACACTTGTCCTTCCGTTGAGTGGCCCCTTTACAGAAAAATGTTCAACATCCAAGTTCAAACGTCTGCAAATGTTCACTCGCTTTTCCATAATTCAGGGTGGCGTTTAAACTTTTACTCCGAAAATTTTCTTCAAAGGGGCAATTCAACGGAAAGATAAGTTCGTGTTATTGTTAATTTTTGGTCTGATTTTTTAATATTAACTTTTCTAAAGGGTTACTTTATTTTTTAGGTTGCATATTTGCCTGGCTAATTTGTACCGAGTACATACGACCCCGTCGCAAAAAATGAGACAGCAAATCCAAAAAACCGTTGCTGCCGATCTTTCTGCGTAGTATGTAGTCTCTGATTAAGATGCAGCTCATTTGCATTTGTCATTTGCTTTATTACATATTTAGTGTCATTTGACTTCTGACGGACGGACAAGGAGTGCGGATCCTGCTAAGAACGTTCTTATCTTGTGTCGAAATGGGAAAGTGTTGCGAGGGCGGTTATCGTGCTAAGGCGAAAATTCTCGCAATTATTCAAATGGTTAGGAAAGAATATTAATTATTTATTAAGCGATTGGTAACTAAAAATTAAAGATGTGGGATTGCTTAATATTTTAGTATCAAGTTTTCTATGTAAAAAAAATTGTACCTCAATTTTTTAATAACAACGAAACGTATGTTTTTTATCCGAATTTTGGACTTTTTTCCTTTGGTTACAAAACGTTCATTTAATAATTTCTGAAAAATGGAGCACTATGAGGTCTTAGAAATTCAGAATTAAAATAATATCAAGCGGTGTTCATTAATATATGACTTTACCAAAGATATTATATTAATAATGTAAGATATATTAATATTTAATACCGTATTGTACATATCTGCGTAATTGTTCGGCACTAAAGTTTTACCATATCGAAAATTTTGAGGGACCCGTACAACTTTCAAACCAAATTTAATATGAGAGATCCATCCCTGCGCGAGTATACCAAATTTCGAACAGAATATGTATGTAGTACCTCCGCGGGTGACAGTCGATCTCCAAATTATTTCGCGTTTTAAAGGGGTTGGTTTAATTCGTCCCGATTGTTCCTCAATGTTTGAAAACTTGCATCGGGACGAATTAAATCAACGCCTTTTAGTTTGTTGCAAGAAAAGGAAATCCGATACATTACTGTGGGGAATAACAAGAGAAGTAAGGATTTAGTGGCAAACGTTGAGCGAGTAAGACAAGTATCTTTCTACGCTGCGGTTCAGTTTTTTCGGCCTTTTGGCTCAGTGGTCTGTTGCGTTGGCTGGAAACGAGACGTCGCGGGTTCGAATCCTACAAGGAGCATATGAATATTTTTGCAAATTATTTACTTTTTTAAATTTTAATTAATGGATTTGCTTATCTAATTAATAGAACTGCTGCATTTACCAATTTTCATCGTGTAATGTTAAATTTTGAAACTAGAAATAATTTTAATTCCGGTTTATTTAATAGTTGGACGATGCTAATTGATAAATGCAGCAATTCTATTAATTAGATAAGCAAATGCATTAATTAAAATTTAAAAAAGTAAATAATTTGCAAAAATATACATATGCTCCTTGTAGGATTCGAACCCACGACGTCTCGTTTCCAGCCAACGCAACAGTCCACTGAGCTGAAAGGACGAAAAATCTGAACCCCAGATGAGTACTTGTAGCGTAGATGAGTACTTGTTTTACTCGCTCAACGTTTGCCAGTAAATCCTTACTTCTCTTGTTATTCCCCACAGTAATTTTGCAAATTAATTAATTGTGATAGTTTGGCTCTGCAGATGTGCTATACCGTCGCATTCCTATTCATTGCGTGGTGGTTGCTGTCGGACATTATTTCTTGGGGGGAATATGACACATTGGATAAGCGTGAGTAGATATGTATTTAAAGCCCCATATTTAGAGTTTTTAGTCCCACTCAACCCTTGTTCAATGTTTTTAAATGCAATTTCTAACATTTAATCAATTCCATGAGTTTTGAGATGAATGTAACTTTGGATTTGTATTTTTTTAAATCAAATTTTTTACAATCAAGTCTTTTTGAAAAAAATTAGCTAACTCATTATTGAGGAACTTTGTGGGTTAATAAATGACAAATGAACTGTTTTTTTAATCGACTTGTTTGTAGTACCAAAAATTATCAAAAGTTGCATTTATCTCAAAATTCAATTTTAGAAATTGCATTTCCAGCCATTGGACAGGGGTGGAGATTAACGCGTCATCCGTAGTAGCCTTAAGTGGTGTTTATGCTTCACGTCATCGTCACGTCCTCCTTCAAATCCGATTTTTTGATTGGCTGAATTAAATTATCACTATGACGATTAAAAATTTTAACCAATCAAAAAATCGGATTTGGAGGAGGACGTGACGATGACGTGAAGCATAAACGCACCTTTAGGTAAGATTTATTGATATATGTGGACTGTTTTTTTTACACAATTTCCCAGTTACGTGGCCCATTGTAATAATGGTGTTCGTGCTGTTCGGGGAGTTTTTGGCGGTATGGCTCTACCTCGGTGTCAAACAGGTATCAGGATTATTAAAAGGAGGAATAATTTTGTTATACAAAATTGTTGCTTTAATTCGTCCTGATGATGGCTTTTTCGGTTCGAACCATATTTAAGCATGACTTTGAAACAAGTTGGTATTTTCCTTTGAAATTTTGCCATGCGTATCTAGAATGAAGATAAGTCCTAATCACGAGCGTCATAATAATCACCACAAAATGTCATGTGCGAACCGATTTTTACGGTTACAAGTTTTTCAACATTCAAGAAAATTCGGGACGAATTAAATCCACACCCTTTACATATCTACAATCCAAATGTCAGCCATGTTTTTCACGGATCTTATGTGAAACCAACACTAAAAAACCAATTTATGATAAATTCTTGAAATTTTAATTGAACTTTTAGATCGCTAGATTACAAATTCAATTATTATGCAATTTCTAGAAGACACGGTTTTCCTATTGGCAGAGATTAGAATTAATTAGAATTATGTATGTATGTAAATAGTTAAAAATTTACACAGGGAAACAAGACGAAATGCAAGATATGGTTTTGGATTCATACCATTTACCTGGTCGGGACGGTCATCACAGTGCCAGTTTTAGTAGGGACAACCGGCAAAGCGGACAACCTTGGTGGGGACATTGGCGGGATATTCGCACAGGTCTACTTCCTCCTCGTCGTGTACAAAGCTATGGAGGAGATTGACGAAGATAATGCTTTACCACGCCTCGAGGTGACAGGCATGAGGGACCGTCCATAAATTATGTATGTCATGCGAAAGGGGGTGCTAGGCTCCAATGAATGAAATCGTGCCTATGTGGGACATGTTGAAGCGGGTGGAAGGGTATAGAAATTCGCGATTTTTACATGACATAATTTATGAGTTTCCCCTGATCAATTAAATTCGAATGGGCTTAACTTTTACGCAAAATGTGTACGTAGGTTCGGTGTTAAAAAAACTCATAATAAAAAGTGCTACCATAATAAATTTATCTTTCCTTACCCATTTATATAATTGATTAATTGTTGATATATTCAAGTATCTATGTACATAACTAGTTCACAGTAACAAACTAAATATGTTCTTCCAGAAATGGCACATATCTATAATAAATAAACCGTAGTAACGTTAGAAGTAGCTCGTCCTGTAATACTTCGGTGACAACATAAGTTGGTACACAAACTTAGACACCAATGGTGCAAAATAAATGGACAAAAATGCATGATTTTGATGGAATTTTACACCGGTGGTAGAAAATAAGCAGACAAAATATATCCATAATTTTCATGGGGTTTTGCACCAATGGTGGAGAATAAGCGGGGAAAATACACCCAGAAATTTGACATGATTTCGACTTTTTTAGACCCCATTCGTGGGGATGTATTTCTGTGGGTTATTCTGCACTTTTGGTGCGTATTGAATCAATTCTCCCAATTGTTTGGCACCATTTTGTGTTATCGCATGTTCGATACAAATAGTGCTATTAATTTCCTAAAAATTGGACATGGGCCTATTTAATTAGCATCAATTGATGCAAAAAACTCATTAACAGACAGACGGACAGACGGACAGACGGACAGGAGGAATTCAATAGCTCTCATGCTACGCAGGACGAGCTAATAATTATATACATAACAAAATGCATGTCGAATTAACCCTTCAAATTTACATTTTGTACATATGTATGTATGCCGGTAACAATAAAAGTTAATTAGAGTCCGAATAATAGAGTTTCTGTGAAAAATTGAGTAGCTATATATGTATGTATGTGTGATTTTTCAGTCACAAGGTTATGAGTCATACTACTTTACATATATGGAAATTACTCCAATTCACAGAACAAATTCCGGGGTTGCGTACTTTTGCAGATGGCATAATTCGTGATTCGTGAAAATTAACTTAATAATTCTCATTTTCAGATTAATTTTTATGTTCCTGGCGTGATAAAGCATGCAATCACTTGGATACTCGGAATTCAGTTTTAATTTTGCTACATATGTACATATGTAACTTTAGAATTATTTGAATTACAGAGGTGCAAATGCGTATTTGCCGAGGGGCTGTGCATCAATAACGTGCTCCGCGAATTTTGACGCATTCTCTTCTGGTGTTACATGCAATAATTAACATTGGGAAGATGTAGCGCCTTGATTTCTTCCTCTCTCAAATCATTCACATCCTTTTTGCATAGTCCCCTTGCACACTCATTAATTTCAAGCGATCTGATATAAAAGAGGTGCCAGACACTTTTAAAACTCAAATTGGCACCGTTTAGAACTGCACACAGATCGGGAATAAAACACTTGTTGACCTACATATTTACGAATTGGGAAGGTTAGTTTCGCATTTTGATATATCTATCTAATTTTTCGTCCATATTTTTTGCCACTTTTTGATAACGTTGCAAAATCTACTTTCAGTTTCTGCTAATCGGAGTGAAATGGATTATCGGACCGTGTTGACGGTAATCTTTGTTTTGGGGGCTGCCATACTAACGATGTACGTCGGAGCTGGAAATGTGGCAAATTATTCACTGGGTGAGGATTCGAAAGTTAATCCTACCAGCCAAGTGACCGTGTGCAAATGGACGGTGTGCAGAAACCCTTGGCCGCAGTGTCCGGAGGGGTATTATGAGAAGGATATAAGTCGATGCGGATTTCCTAATAGGAAGCAACGACAATGTTGCATAACCACGACACAGTATATCTGAGCTGCTTAATCGTTTATGCCAATCATGTCCATCAATTCTAAATCCTCGCAAAGAAATGAGTTATGTAAATTCATATGAATAAAATCTATCAATCTACGCAGTGTGACTTTAAATAGACTTTTATAAATCTGGTGAAATCACGTATGTACATATTTATGTAAGTATTTATTTGCAAATTGGCACCTCTTGTTATTAATGATTGTCATCTATGAAATTTGTGAGTGTTCCAAGTAACACAATTACTTCGAAATATGTTTTAGATTGGTTGGGGAAGGGACAATTGTAAAACAAACCCCTTAAAAAATTTATTACGAAGGGAGGAATTTTATGAAGTGGTAGCTGCCTGAGGAGGCATTTCGAAATTTTTAATTTTGGCCGTAATTTCACTTTAAATGATGTCAGAGGACAGAAATAGTTAATAAAACTACCTAATATTGTCACTTGATGAAATTACATCGTCTAGTGAATCGAAACAGAAATTTTAAATTTGTACTTTGACCACACCCCTGGCGTTGGGTGTGCGCATATATATACTATCTCAATGTTACACACAATTTAGTATAGGATTAGAGTTTCAAATAACACCCCAGGTTAACGTGATACAATAAACAGTGACCTTTGACCACACCCCCAAGAGGGAGTAGTTTTAAATGAAATTTGCACAGTTAGGAAGTGTTTCTCCTCATGTCTTGAAGACATAAGTCCAAGGTTTAGTTTAAGGGCTTTGGACTTACTTTTACTTCATCCGTTCATTTGTGAGAAAAATTTTCTTAGGGCTCGGCATGAATTTCGACGAATCCACTTTTTTGCGCCTTCGTGAATTTTAGTGACCTTTCTGACCGTCTCCTTCCGCTACCTTTTCGGCAGTCGTCACTGCCAGTGTCAGTGGATCATTTTGTGGTACGGTCGACCATCATGCGTTCAGTTCCGATTTTTATTGAGCAATTGAAAAATGCCCGATTTTTTTGTTTACCAAAATGTTCCTCAAAAATTGTAACACGTCGGTTTGGCCGATCTGTCACTTTGGCACCTTGGGTCACAAAAAAATGCGGAACATGGTTTCTGATCGACAATTGCATGGGGATTTCAATAAAAAATAGTACAATTGTCTAACTTAACTCCTACTAATTTTCTTGGGGAGCGGAAATCATTGGTCATTTCAATTGGCCCTACTAGGTAATCTCCAACGGGTCGAAGCTCCATTGACTGGTGTCTCCCGTGATTAACATTTTTGCAAAGTATGATACATGAAATCCGCAGTTATATCCATCTTTTTGTTGAGGGCAGGTTGCTACTACGAACTCCTTTATATCGAAGAGAATTGATAGTTCTTGTTGAATTTCAATATGACGGACAATACCATTACATAGACTGTCGTAGAGCGTCATACGCTTTTCTGGAATGGCAATATGATATAGGTAGATGTGACCGTCCTGGACAATAGGAGCTAAGACGTCTGTGGCTAATGCAAATCTCGAATCGAAATCGTTGTTTCTTTCAATTCTACAAGATTTCCACTCATCGGATGTGATACAGTCGAACTTTCGCTCATCTTCAGGATCTGTACCATGTTTAAAAACATGTAATTTAGAAATGATATATACATGTACATAACATGCAATGAGGAAAATTTGCGTAATTAGTATACAAATCTAAACCTCTAACAAACTTTGATCAATTTCGATATTAAAATCAGGTTAAAAATTAAATTTGTATTTTTTTGTACTGCCTAAAATTATAAAAGTTTTTGAAGTCAAACATCTCTCAAAGTGAAGGACTAAATAACCTAGTGGTGAAAGTTTACAGTGGTATTTTTTGTCAAAGGAATGAATAAAAACCCGATTGGCGTTTTTTCGTAAATAAATATTTATGTACATATTTATACATTTAAGTGATTTTTAATAATAAATACCCTGCCTTTGACAATCAATCACACTTTGGATGTTTTGAATTATATGTACGTATTGATTCCACGTAGCACACTGCTAGTTAACTTCAAAATTTAAAATTAGCCTAAAAGTAGTACGTGTGTAATGCAAGCTTACTTATTATTTGGTCTACACGAATTACATCAAGAATATATTGGTCAAGAAGAGTGGACTCCATCCATTCTGTAGGAGTAAGAATCGCAATGAATTGATCGTCTGTAATCGCTTCATCACTTCGAATCTGGGATATTAAACTTGTTGATGATTCTCCCATGGTCTGCGAAATTATTACAATATAATTGCTAAATTTGTATGATAAGTATGAAAACTTATTTAAGCGACAAAAAGATACAAATGAGTGAAGTGATGTCATATTTTGTTACTTACTATTTCGAGCACCCTCCTCCCAAATTTTGGACAAATAAATAAGTTTTATTGCCCCGAATTAGAAATCTCTGAAGAATTGGTATAAATTGAGTCGAAACTTTAATGAAGAAAGTCGCGAAGGACGAATTGTGACTGAGCATTTACATATCTGTAAATACACATCTACATATACACATTTCTGCACAATTTATCTGGTGCAACGGACAACGAAAACAAACAGAATCAGTGCAATCTACTTATCACCATCTCATTTTGTTTGACTGATATATTTACTTGCCACAAAATTTGTACATGATAAACTCAACTAATCTATATTTACATGTATACATATTTTCGCTTGGATTTTGTAATATTTGAGGTAAGGTTTTTATATGTACAAATTGTTACACTGTTAGAAATCTGGTAGTCTGTTGGGTGCTGGTTTCTCGGTATAAAAGTTGCTACCCCTTAGCGTTAAAATTATACCGGTATGTAAAAGTTTACCACCGATATGGTAAAACTTTAATGCCGAGCTATTACTGCATGGTATCACGTACCAATACCACTTTGGTAGAGTCATATGTGAATACTTGATCTCTAAGAGTCAATGCATATGGATTAGGCAAACTATACCCAGGTTTGAATTCTTCGGAAGCATAAACTTCAAAAAATGTCATGTAAATCCTCCGCTCGAGATCTACAATGCGGCCTTGTGTTGGATTTTGTCACCGCGTGGTGACACGACTGTGATAAATATTTATTTCATGGCTTAATTCATGCATATCAACAAATGTGGTCTTAGTGACAATTTTATTTATCAGCTATGTCAAAGTTATCATTATTAATCGAATATACTTGTTAATAATCCCGTGAAGCATGAACGAATAACTTAAACGAATATTTAATTCAAATTCAGATTAATTTTTACTTTCCTTGCGTGTGCTAGAGCATTCTCCATATCACTTGAATACTCAGAATCTAGTTCTTTTTTGCATAGTCACGTACCAGGTTTTGTAACCGAGGACTTATTTGAATTACAGATTTGCAAATGCGGAGTTGCCAAGGGGCCGTACATAAATTACGAGCTCCATTTTCGCAGAATTTTGACCACCCCCCGACTGGTATGATGTATACACATGCCTCATGTTATAATTAACATGGGAAGGATAGAATAGCTTGATGGCAACCACCATAACATGTACCGCATTCCTTTTGTAAAGTCTCCTAGCATATTCATTAATTTCAAGCGATCTGATATCAAAGAGAAGCCAGACGCTCGTTAAGACTTAAATTGATACTAACTGCTAGAAGACCAGGAAAATACACACCTATTGGCTAACATACATATCTACGAGTACGAAAGGAAAGGTGAGTTTCGCATTTAAAAGTAATTTTTCGGTTTAAAATTTTGATTTAAAATTTTGCTAGCTAATAGTTATTTAAAAACTTATTAGTTGCAACCACCCTGTAAAATCCAAACTATTTTCAGCTTCTGCTAGTCGAAGTGGGATGGATTACAGGACCCTGTTGACGGTGACCCTTATCCTTGCGGCAGGAATACACATCATAACTGCATATATTGCAAGTAACTCCTTGGATCAGGATTCGCCAGGTGATGGCGGTGGTTCTTCCGGTGGACAAATAATACTACATCCATGCCATTGGACCGGGTGTGGCAACCCTTGGCCGAAATGTCAGGATGGGTATTATGAGAATGACATAAGCCGGTGCGGATTTCCCAACAGGAAGAGACGACAATGCTGCCGAACTTGGAGCCCGATTCCCGCAACTTAATTATCCTAAACGAAATTTAAATAAGCCAGTTAAGCTTAGTTATTGTCGCTATATGTATTAATAAAATAAAACTTTAATTTGTGCCCCGCAGTTTTTTTACGTATTGTAAATATGCATACTTACACTTACAGTTAGCATGATGCCAAATTAAGGTCTCTCAGCTCTATTTTATTACTATTCTCTACTATTTACTTACATATGTTTAACTAGGCAGACTTGTTTCAAAATTAGGCGAATTTTGACGAATATTCAGGTGAGATACGTTTCTCGTTAACCCATATGTAAGGGGTTAGATTAAAAAATTGTTAGTACGTGTCGGGAGTGCATGCATGCATTGTGTGCATAGCAAGTAGAATCATACCTACATATATACATATGAACAAATGAAGATTTACCTCCTGATCTACGCAGTTATGTATGTATCATTGACTATCGTTATCTTATCTCTATGCGCACTGGTTTCATCCTGTTCATCAATTAAGCTTAACAATTTGACGACGTGGCCAAGTTGGCAATTTGTGCATACAAAAGCTACCATACTGCATACATATTTCTTTTAACAAGTAACGAACAATTGTTATAAAATAATATGTAGACGACATACTTACCAATAAACTGCTTTATATCACCCCTATTATAATTTATCGGAAATACATAGATTCTCAAGGTAATAAATCAATGTTTAACAAATATTTTCACGAAAATTCCTCTTAAGCTCGGTGTCAGGAAAACAAACCATGAAAAAGTTTGTAGTAGGTTCGTTTATTAATTTGTTTCTATAATTAAGAGTTCAATTGACTTACATTTTGTAATTTACTCATCAACAGGTTTCAAATTCGAGCAAACATTTTTATAACTAATTGATGTACATACATACCCCAAAATTCTTAAGTTTTAAATCATCCTATTAAGTTTTTAAAAAAATGCAAAGCAAAATCGAAATACAGATCTCAGTTTGACAGAGCGAACTAAATAGTACGTAATAATTTTCGACATTAATTAAATTTAATTTGTTGGAGCCAAACAATGTCAGGGTTAAACGTTCTATTTAAAAGTCTTGACAATGACTAGCTTCAGCGAAACCGGTACATGGTGCTGACGGTGTTGTCGCGCAACTAAAAACGCTCTTACACGTGTCGAATAGAATCAAAAATTAGTGTACACGTGTAACAGCGTTTTTTCTCAGCGTACCCCAATTTTTTCATATAGCCCCAAATTCTTGGAACAGTGATTGTGACCCTACTAATTTGATGATTTCCTTCAAACTTGGCACACGATCCTGATTTATGATCCGCCTCAGCGTTCCAGAGAATTAGTCGTCTAGGTTGAAATTGATAATGCCAATTACCTGACAATTTTGACAATTTTTTTCATTTTTTTAAAGTAATTTAGAAATTTATCAAATGGTATATTTCTAGCTTCATATCTCTACAGAAACCGTATATTCTGCTTCGAATGCAGTTTAGTTGGACCTAATAGCTCAAATATTAAGAGTACTTTGTAGGAAGACCGATTTTGATGGGAGTTCTCATGAAGTACCCTTAATGCTGCTTTTCTTCATTACGGTTGGCTTGATTAACCCCGATTTTTGAAATGTTCTTCATATTTAGTAGTGGAATAATGGTGAATTGCCCTACATGTCGAAATCGACCTGTATGACCTTGTTTTAAAGGTCGGGGGTACAAGCCGGGAGGTCACGTCTCACATAACCTCATAACTGGGGTATCTTGGGGTATGATTGGAAAGGTCTCGGCAAGAGGTTTCATAATATATATACTTTGTTGGGTCTATAACCATTCCTTGGTGTTCCAGAAGTGGAGGATTATTTTTGAGTTTGTGCCTATCTATTTGCCGTGTTAGCTTCCTATGTACTGCTGTGTTAAATTCTGGAAAATCAGAAATTATCACTCAACCGCCTCTGGACATTCAGGGAGTGATCCTGGATCCCACAAAGTATATATAAACTGAATTCCTTCACCGAAACCTTTTCAACGATGCCACACTTATGGGGTTATGTGAGACTTGACCTCCCGACTTGTACCCCTAAAACAAGGTCATACAGGTCGATTTCGACATGTAGGGCAATTCACCATTATTCCACTACTAAATATGAAGAACATTTCAAAATCGGGGTTAATCAAGCCAACCGTAATGAAGAAAAGCAGCATTAGGGGTACTTCATGAGAACTCCCATCAAAATCGGTCTTCCTACAAAGTACTCTTAATATTTGAGCTATAAGGTCCAACGAAACTGCATTCGAAGCAGAATATACGGTTTCTGTAGAGATATGAAGCTAAAAATATACCATTTGATAAATTTCTAAATTACTTTAAAAAAATGAAAAAAATTGTCAAAATTGTCAGGTAATTGGCATTATCAATTTCAACCTAGACGACTAATTCTCTGGAACGCTGAGGCGGATCATAAATCAGGATCGTGTGCCAAGTTTGAAGGAAATCATCAAATTAGTAGGGTCACAATCACTGTTCCAAGAATTTGGGGCTATATGAAAAAATTGGGGTACGCTGAGAAAAAACGCTGTTACACGTGTACACTAATTTTTGATTCTATTCGACACGTGTAAGAGCGTTTTTAGTCGCGCGACAATACCGTCAGCACGATGTACCGGTTTCTCTGAAGCTAGTCCAATATATCTAGTACTCAAATTGATTGAAAATTGCACTCAACTTGTGATAAAACTTTCGTACTATTTTATAAGTACTGCTCTTGACCTGAAAAATTATGCACCGGTACTTACACACATAATTCTTTTTTATCAGTCTAGGGTGAACTTGACATGATGGCGATATCACCGTGGCGTGAAAGATCGGATTTTATTGCAATTGAACAACTTGGTACAGGGTCATTCGGCTCCGTTTGGAAAGCTAGGCACCTACCTGCCGCTCAAAATTATGCAATCAAGCAAGTCTTCATCAACAAAACCTTACAATATTTTGGCGGTGACGTAAACAAATTGTATAGAGAAGTACAAAATATGGAACACCTACAAAACAAGTTATTCCACCCGAATGTCGTACAATATCGTCATTGTTGGTTGGAGGGAGAAAATGTTAGAGATAATGTTCTCCAAGCTAAAGAAATTAATTGGGATAGGGGCTCTTCCCAGCCCGAATTGCCCGAGACCAATTTTCTCTTCATTCAAATGGAACTTTGCGAAACAAATTTAAAAGATTGGATGATAAGAAATAAAAAAATGGGGAAGGAAAATAAAATTGTGGATCAAGTTAAGCCTCTTATCCTTCAACTTTCCGATGCACTTGCGTACATTCACCGACAAGGAGTAGTTCATAGGTAAGTATTTTTTGAGTAAATCTGTAAGCATATACATAAGCATGTATATATGTACATATGTATGTTGTCACTAGGGCATCCAAAATCGGTTTTTTGACATTAATTCGAACTATACAGTTCAAGAAATAGTTTTCTAATTAACCGAAAACAGGTTTTATAATTTCCAAAAAATCGGGGTTAAAATTTTCGAAGAAACCGGTTTTGGAACAACGGTTTTAGTTTTCGAGAAAACCGGTTTTACACCCTATGAATAAAACGCGTTTTCCGTTTTTAGTAAAACAAACCTTCGTTAAGCTAAGATTCACTGTTTCTTGTTGTTAAGATAAGATTTAATTGTTATGTAACACCTTATTCCCAAGTGTACATTTAATTTTAATTTTGCATTCAATTTGTGGCTTTTATAAGTATTTGAAAACTTTTTAAATTTGTAGTAAAACCGATTCCCTAAAATTTCCCAAAACTCGATTTTTAACAATTTCCAGATTTTAGTTGTCATACATTGCAATGTTTATAAACGAAAATGTGCTCGTGTTTGTTTTAAAAATAGGGATTTAAAACCAGCCAACATATTTGGGAAGGGCCAGAGCGATTCAGATTTGCAATGGAAATTGGGAGATTTCGGTTTGTCGTCGAGGTCTATATGTGATCCTTCGCTGGTCGGCACTCCACAGTATCGAAGCCCGGATGAGGAAAACACTGAAAAATCAGATGTTGTATAGTATGGGACTTGTTTTCTTGGAACTTTCTTGCTCCCGAGCCAATCCTCCCTTTTCGAACCACACTGATTTAATAGAGTTATGTAATCAAATTTCATTAGAGATAAACAATATTGTTGCCACTTTACAAAGTATGTTGAATCCAAATCATGACGAGAGGCCTGATTCTGGAGAAGTTTTTAATCAATTTCAAAAAGAACTTTCAAACTCAAAACCTCAATCGGCCGTAAAGGTAAGCATCATAACTATCATAAAAGAATCATAAGGTCATAAAAACACTAATAATACTGGAATGTAATTGTTTTGCAAACCATTAGCAAATTTTATCCACTGAAGATACACCAAAAGCCAAACCAATCTGGTTTCAGATGCAGAAACCCGTACAAAACTTTGTTGGAAGAGCTAATTTTCTTGAAATTCTTGAAGACGCGTTTCAACTGAAAGCGAATATTACATCCATACTTGGTCTGGGAGGAGTTGGGAAATCGGAAATTGTGAAAAAATTTGCAACCGATAAGTACAACGCTGGCCAGGCAAACTGTATTTGGTTCGATAGTTCTAATTCACAAAGTTTTGCCATGGCTGTAAAAAATCTTGCTCGTGAGCTCAAAGTAATGGACGCTGCCGTCGACGACTCGTATTTGTTTCAGCAGTGTTACACTCAGCTCACTACCAATGGCTGCGAAACCATTCTAATAATTAATAACGCCGATTCAATCTATACCGAGCTGGAGATCTTCCTTAGGAGTTTTAGAGCGTATCCGCCCAGCACTTCACTACCAATCGTTCTAATTACGACGAGAGTTCGCTCAGTTGCCACTCTTAGCGGGGGCGAAATCATAGAAATTTCCGTTCTTCGGGATAGCGAGGTCCTTGAATTAATCCGAACGACCATCCTAGCTTGCGATGTTGAAGATGCCGCAAGGTTGGGTAGCTTACTGCAAAACTTTCCGCTCGCTCTTCAGCAGGCCATAGCATATATTCGGGAACGCTGTAAAATTAATGCAACTACGCGTCCATTCACAGTTCAAAAGTATATTGAAATTTTCGAGGCACAAAAGAAAAAGCTGCTAGGGCACAAACTCAGTTTGCAAGAGCATGACTACTCATTAACAACACTGACCACTTGGAACTTAAATTTCCATAGTATCATAAGCCATCCGGAGTCGGGTCAGCTTGCAAAGGAAATTTTGAATATGTGGGGCTATAGCTTTTCCCCCGATGGAGAAGAGTTAGGCTTCATTTTAGAATATGTGGAAATTTTAAATGGCTTAAATGATTTAAATCTAGAGAAAGATATTTTGGTAGAAAAAGATTTGACATGTTCAATTCAAGAGAAACTAGCATTGTTATCAATGTTATGCTTGCTCCCGGGTGGACTAATCGAAAAAATTATTTGAGTTTGCATAGCACTTACGACGATTATTCAGAGTTGGACGAGTTAGAGGATGATGTTCGTCCATCTGCTGAAGCCATCCAGTTGATACGGTCATATTCACTTTGCGGTTTGGAAATGAGGTTCAACTACTTTAAGAAGGACACTCAATTTGTTACAATGCATCGGTTAGTTCAAGAAATAATTAGGATGAATTTGTCTTCCAAATCTGAGTTAGATTGGGTTAAAAAATATTTAAGCATGTGGCATTCAGATAGCTATCGTGAATGGAGTACGGGCGGATCAGCAAAAAGGTTTCAGAATAGGGAACGTTTTATTGGAACGTTGTGGACATATTGTGCAGGTTGCAAAGAACTTTCATTTCTATTTGTGAGGTCGATTAATCAAATTTGGAAGGATGCTTGCCCAGGATATCTTCCCGCCTTGGAGAACACTGTTTTGAAAAATATTTTGGGTAATGTGACCTCCGATGGGATAGTACATAGTTATTCCGAGACTTTCATTCTGCAGAAGTACATTTTACAAAATGAACTGAATCATCGGTTGGGATTCAATAGAAACGATCCATTTCCCCAAATCCGACGCACCCCTGAATACAAATTCTTGGGAAATGGATTTATAAGTGATGATCTTTTCACATTGTATTGCAAAGTTCCTCCCGAAAATCCCGTATCATACGATGTTCTCTCCCTAGTTCTTATGCAGGTTTCCAATAAGGAATATTCAAATCTTGGTCACAGCTTGCAGAATTGTATCGAAAATATGCAGCACATTTTATTCAGATTAATGAACTTAATGGCGGGATGGCCGGTCATAGAGGAACCGATTGACAGTGAAATTTCAATCAGGTGCGTTCTAATACTAGCAGGAAGAATATTAGAGCTTATGGAAAATTTTGAAAATCAACAGTTTCTAGAAAATCTATCCAGATTCTGTTGTCTTGTTGCAGAAAAACTAAACACGCTTTGCATCCCAGGCTTGAAACATTTGTTTAGAATGATTCAATTTTCACTCTTGGGTTCTAGCAATGTGGATTCATCTCTCAATAAGCTTCAACAAGAATTCGATGACAAGGTCGAAAATCCGGAATTAAAATCTATCACAAGCTCGGATGCATACACAATTAGCCTATTGATAAGAGTACGTTTAACATCATGTCCTGCTCCATTAGCAGCAAGCTTGTTTCACGATATCATACTAGAGCCCGAATTTGTTACCATCACGCCTTTCGATAATCTCGTGGCATCATTGAAAAAGATCAAAAACTTCAAAGTGGTAGAAAAAATATTGATAGAAGCATTACTAAAAGCGTATGACCTTTGTACAGATGAAAGGTACTCATCAGCTCAAATGCTTATTACTGCGGCAAATTTAGCTGAGTTGGACATACTTTGGAAAAATGAAATGTACAATTCTTCAGCCGCAGTTTGTAAACTGCTGCCCCCACTCTGCAAGTTTAATGCCCATTTTGATTATCCAAATATGGTTCCGGATTGGATGGATGACTTCATTTTAAGAGCTAGTTTAGTGGGGTTTGAACTTGAAGGGCCATTACTAGCACTAGAAGATGTTGAATCAATTTGTCCTAGTGATAATAACCCAGTCTCTCTGAGAACAGTAGTGCTAAAACTTCCATCCAACGCCATAACGGTTGTAAGTCCGGGTAACATGATCCTTCACTCACATCAGAAATTGTGGGACACAAAAGATTATACAGGATGGCTACAAAATGTACAGCAGGAGGTAAGCTCCTTGGAAGATACTCACATGCAGGGGTACACAGAAGCAAAAATTGCGGAAGAACTGTGTTACATGTTAGTTAATTGTAAATCTTTTGAGGAGATCCCTACTACCGTGGTAACATGGGCAACCTTATATTTGTTAGAACATCACTCCAACATTAAGCAAACCGGTCTGCAGTTAGTCTCAACTATTCGAGATATTATAAAAACGGCTAATAGTCCGGCTGAGTTGACCAACTTTACGCATGGATTAATTACATTGGGTAAAATTATTTTAGAAAATCAAAAAAACAAGGAACGCGTACAATTGAATTCGTTTCATTTAGTACAGTTGAATAATTTGTGGTATATTTTAAACGCACTCGCAATCATAACTGAAGAGAATTGCTATACAGAAACAAGTATAACTTGGTTTGAGGCCTTGTTTGACGTAGACGGAAAAGTTTCAAAGAGCCTCCAATTCTACCAAGTTGTTAACAAATTGAAACATTTCGGGGAACATGCAGACACGGACACATTCCCAATTATATGTACATTAATTTTAAGTTTAGTGAAGCAGTACGATAAATTTGAGGGCGCTGAAAGCCTATTAGGACTGCATCGTCTAATCGACAGTTTTGTAGCGGAATGCTTCAGATTCAGTACATTCAAGGAAATTGTCCAGCTGTGCCAAGGGTTAGAAAAAGCAGGGGAAGTCAAAGCAACAACACTAATCGCCGAGTTAGCCCAATATTATACAATTAGAAACGTGGGAAAACGCTACAAGTATAATGGGAAAAATTGGATGTTTGTCGACTGCTTGAGACTTTACAGAACGGCGCTGAAAATCATAGACTGTCCGAATTTTAAGCAAGGCTTATTAGAAGAGCTGCGTTTGTTTTTAAATGAAATTAATAAGTTCTATGAAAATGATGAAGATATTTCAGACAGTGGAGATTTTGGTTATAATAATATGGAAAAATTATACGTTTTCTTACTGAAATATGGGGATGAGTCTTTTAGTTTGAAGCAACTTTTGTTTAATATCCTGAATATTCACTTTAATGATGGAGATTTCATGTCAATATACGATTTTGGTCTTACGATATCACGAATTCGAATGAGCAGTATTGTTCTTCAAACAGAATTAGACGATGGATTAGAAGAGATAGTATACTGTTTAAGATGTGCTTGTGAACAAAATTCTGATCGAGTTAAAGGATGGTTTGAACATAAGTTGAGAAGCCCTTGGTTAGTAGAGGACAATAGGAAATTGTTCATTGATAAGGTTGATGAGGTGCTTAAGGAATTTGGAGTAGAAATGGATCCTGAAGTTGATGAAGATCCAGAAGACTCGGACGATTTTGAAGAGTCGTTGGAAGAAATTGGTGATTTTGTATCTCCAATGGAAGGCGGAACAGTGTCAGAACTAGGTTTGGATTAAAGTATAACTAGACTAGCTTATAATCCCGTCTCCTAAAGGGCGAGTTTTGGTACGATTTCCAAAATTCGCCTTTGTAATTTGTAAGAACTACCAAACTTTTACAACCATGTAATAAAGGTAGACGTAAACTTGTTAGAATATATTTCCCACCAGGAAGTATCTGACAATGGATATGGTTACATATTTGTGGAAAGGCCGGTCAAAAAGTGGCGTGGATTAAGAAATTATATACTGTTGGTGCTGGGAAATTAAAATCGGATTTAAAAAATGCAGGAAAAAATTTCGCAACATTGCCTGAATTTTAAAAGATTAAAACAAAACAATTTGCTTCAGTGAAGGTTTTCATTAGTTCTAAAAGTGTGATACGTAGACAGCATAATTTATAATACTGTGAAATTGAGGGGGCTGTGGTAATTTTAGAGTTGTGAATATTAGTAATCCAGATTTATGCAAGAGCTGTTTTGCAAGATGAAACAGTCAAGATTTAAGAACAAGGGGCTGGCTTCTGTATATATGTATGTATGTACATACCTGTCGCTGATCACTTGTTTCCAATTAATCACGTGTTTCCCAATTTATGTAGAATCGCCTATATTTATATTTTTTAATATATTAAAACATATACGTTAGAACGTACATCTATATTCTGAATAAATTATCGGTGAAAAATTGAGCTATTATGATTTTGTAGTCATACTTTCGAAAAGGGTAACCTTATTTTTAAGAGTGCATGTATTTTTTCGCTGTCTTATAAATACGTAATAATTATAATAATTGATTTCTTGCATCAAAGCCAAAAGCCTTTGTACATCAGTCTTATAAATACATGCATATGTACAAGTACGATGCAATGCTGTAAAATAAAATTCAAACTGTAATATTTTTTACTTTATTTAATTTCAAATAATTTTGACTTTGGGAAAATATGCAGATTTGTGGATTCATACTTATTTGCAATTATTATAATACACTTGAACCTTTTTAATATCGACGGGGCTCAATTTTTCCGCCTCGCGTCGAATAGCATTTATCGAACCGTCCTTGAGCGTCATTGCGGGGCGGGATTCGTCATAAGTTTTGGCGAATGCGAAGAAAGGGTAGTGCATAACGCTGGAATAGTCATACGGCGTTCCCATATTGTTAACTTGGGCGGAGCTGAACTTATCGTAGGTGTAATGATAAGCTGGAAGAGTAAGAAAGTAGTCATTAATTGTTTTCTATCCAACTTAAAATTAGGGATTGATAATCGGAAAATTAAAAAACGATTTTTTCAATTTTGGCAAAGTTTAGTAAAACCGGTTTTAATAATTCCAGTTTTGCCAAAGTTTCATAAAACCGAGTTCAACTTTGTCGACTTTGATAAACTAAATATGATAAAGCTGGTTTTACATGTTGCAATTTTTGAAATTTTGGTAAAACTTTCTTTTAATCGAATTTTGAAACGATTTGGCATCAAATTTTGAAAATTTTGTAAATATACCGTAAAATGCAAAGCAGAACAAAATTTATGTCAGCAGAGCTGTAATAATGTAATTTCTGCAATAATTTTTACGCAACCAATAAGGACTAGTTTTTCCAAAATAATTTTCCAAAAAAATGGAAACCCTGCATATTCTCAACGGATGAAACCAGTTTTGATGAAACTCGATTTAAATTTAAATCGGACTTTCGCTTACATAGAAAACCGATATCGCAAAATTGGAAAACCGATTTTTAATGCCTTATTCCAAATTTATGAATAATCTTATTTTACCAGGATCCACATTTTCCAAATGAACCGTAATAAAATCATCCCGATCCGGACGTTGTTGTTCATGATTAAAACCGATCACATGACCAAGTTCATGCACCATCGCCGCGTGGCGGAGGCATTCGCCATACATCTTCATAAATTGGCGACCCCCCTGACGCCCCACGTACGAGTAGCAGTAATACGAGGTGCCATCTTCCGGCGTGATTTCAACGTAGTCGCGATGACTCGATGTTCTTAGGATGAATCTAACACAGGTTTTTTGCTGCCATTCTGCCATTGCGTTGAGAACAATTTGCTTATCTGAGGACGAGTATTTGGGGCTTATCACGTACGGAATGACGCCTTTTGGCCACTTGTAGTTCACATCACGCCAAAAGTTTTGAGTTTGAATTGTGTTTCGACGTACGTCATCGCCTCGAAAAGCGATCGGGGGGTTGTTTCCATTAAGGCTGGAACGCTATAAAAAAATTTGCACTCCTAAAAATAATATCATCCTTTTGAAAAGTAAATGCAATTTTTAATTTCTGAATTCCAAAAATTTTAAGTAACCCATACAAAATCCAGACCAAACTTTACTCCTTATCAAGTTTATGCTATTCTGGATTTGACATATTTTACACAATTCAGAGAGCATTTACATTTCAAAACCGGTAAAAATGTAAATTCTTAACAGGTTAAGATGTCTTTACAAGTTTGTGTTTTTTTACCTGGAACTTACTCACGGGAGAAGAACCACTATGAGAACAAAAAACGCTATATAGAAGTAGTAAAATTTTAAAGGAGTCCATTTCTGCAATTTTTCAGCAGTAAAACTAGTTCTAGGTGGAAAGCTCTGTAGAGCAAGTGTATTTGTGCCAATTATTTATGCCATCAATTTTTGGGTGGCGTGTGCGTCAGTTAGTGTACGAACATTAATTGTGGTTGCACATGTTGAATATCTGGCGAAATACATATGTTTCAAATTAAAAATGCCGTTTTCCTAGTTCATAAATAATTTTAATGGGTAGACTTTAGTGCATTTTACTCTCTTCTGAATTAATAAAACGTCAATACAACGATAATTAAAAGAATTGAATATGTTTCTAAGAAAAATGATCATTCCCACGTTTTTATGGTTTTCAGGAAATACACTTGTAGGCAATTTGTTTTAATCGCTCTGCAGAAGTGTAATTTACAAGCTGTGAAGAATACAAGGATAATCGCATTCATGAAATAATGTAAAAAATTACACGTGATAGTTACTACAATTTATTGGGTTTCAAATTCAACAATGTAATCATAAAATTTCTCTCCATTCATGACCACTTTATTTTGACTGTAGAAAGTGTAACTGGATTAAATTTAAGCTTTGGATTGTACTTATAAGTAATCTTTCGCATAATGTTCAGTAATCACACATTAGTAAAACATGGACAGGATGAAATTTTTTTAAACTGTAAACTCTACCATCGTAAAACTGGCATTTCGCAACTGGTTTCCAGCATGAAAATAAAAGTCTGGCACCATGTCCGGCGTCCCCACTGGTGTATTATTCCACCGAATATTTACCAACTCTAAATCCTGCTCAAGGTGGAGCTCTAGGTCGTAAACGAGGCCATCAGAACTCAGAAGTTCTTGAGTGAGGCGTTTTGTCGTCGGGTCAATATAAACTCGCTGCTGTTGAATGTCGCCCCCGAATCCGTAAACGATGCAGTATTTAACTGGAGAAAACGTCTCATTGGCCATAGGTGGCGGGGAAATTCGAAACGAATAAGACTGTATACCTTCGTGAAGGTCTGATGCCTAGGAATACTTCATTGGATAAGTTACCCCATTAAGGTCTTGGAATGTCAATGACGTATTTCTCGTTATTATCACTCGAACCACCTCAGGCAACATAGAGAAGGCGGGATGGTTACTGGGAAGGGAAGACTGTGACATGATTGCCCCAACGGAAAATATCTCTTTTCCCGCCATATGTCCATTATCTTCAACGGCGGAGATAAGTTGTTCAAACTTTTGGCCTAATTCTGGAAGGGGGGAATATTTCCTTATTATATGTGCCACCACTGGGATAAGGGGCTTATTTTTGCTTCCATACATATCCCCGACGTTGACTTCGTAACGGGAAGCGATAAATGCAGCGTGAGAAAAGGTTGGACTGCTTAACCATGACACAAATGTTCGGGACGTACTGTTTCCACCAATAAATGTGAGAAAATAGTTGTGATCTGTAGATACGAGAAAGGACTCGGTGGTGTTTGTGGAAAAGTGCGGGACAAAGGTACCCGAGGGTGGGGAAATATCTGACCGAAGATTCTTATTGGTGTCCAGTACCCAGTACTGGCCACTACCTGATCTAATTCTATCCCCGCTAAAAGTGAATGGGTAAAGCGGCCAAGGTTGCAGCCAGGCGACATGTTCGCTCATCGGGATTACGTCACCAGCTGGGCTAAGGCCGGGGAGCTTGAGAAGGAAATCTTCCGAGGCTGATTGAGTCACAAGTTGAACCTGCTCAGGTAGCATGCGGAAGGGCAAGGTGTGTACATGGAGGAAATCGAACGTCGAATACAATCCCCGACTTGGAAGGCTTCATTCCCACCTAAAATATGGTTGAAGACGTTCATTTGTTCAATCAGGTCTTGGAAGGCAACCAAACGTTCTGCTTCGGTTGGGAGTCGTTCAATTTCTTGAAGCGTAGTCCGAATTCGGCTGCGCGTACCTGATAATTAATAATTGTGCTAATTAATCCATTGCTTCTATTTATTAAACCATCATGCTCATTAATAAGCTAGAAATAATTACCCACCTCCATATGACGAGTTCAAGTAGAATTTATACGGCTCTAGAGAGAATACAGCCGGCGGTTCAGCAGGAAACTGGGATTGGAGGAAGAACTCGAACGGCGCCCTTGTCCTCGGAGCTACGAAGGTTTCTCCATCGTAAAAAAGATGAAATTGATTTTCCCCTCCCGTCACTGGAATCAGAGTGAAGAACGTTTCCGAGGTATAATTAGTCGTCAAAATATTTCCTAGCACAGTCACATATTCCCACGTGCCGGCGAGGAATAGTGTGTGAAGCATTTCTGGACCGGGCGTGGTCGGCATTGTTGGTCCGGTTGTCAGAGGAGATGTGGAACTGTGAGGTGTGGCGGGATCTTCAGTTGTGGTTGGTGGATCAGGCGTGGTTGTGGCTGTTGGGTCGGTCGGTAAGGTGGTTGTGTAAGTTACATTGAACCGAAGTCGAGGCGAGTCTATCACGTCCGCCGTCATGTCCGGTGTCATATAATACTTGACCCCTTTCCGCTCATAAGTCCATTCAAGCTTTGTCCCGTTACGGATTAGGTCGTCCTACATAAAAAATGGGGGTAATTCTAGACAGCTATTTGAGTACTTAAGGACAGACGGAAGAAACTTAAAATTTGATCCTTACCAGTAACCAGGCTCTTGAAGCTAGTACGAAGGACAGAGTGACGAAAATTGTTAATATGTAATGCACCATTTCGATTGATAATGGTAACAAAGGTTTAGCTGAATGAAGGAAGGTAAGGGTCACCGATTTAAGATGCTTTTGGGATACGAATCTACAATCTTAGAAATAATGTTACCCTTTCGAAATGCATAGGCATTCTAAATTCTAAATGCTAAATCCAGAGTTGACTTTATTATTTCTAAAGGTAACGTTACTCTGCATTTAGAATAGTGAAAATAGAATTGAGAATACATATACTTTTCAAAAGGGTAGCATTATTTTTTACAGTGTGGGTACTTCTTTATTGTCTACGCGATGTGCTGGCAGGCCATACTGACTAAGTTTTATGAAAAGAAATTAGTTTTATACTGCACCAGCCTGGATAACGACAATGAACAGATGGACGGGATATCAAATAATGCAAAGTGGGTGACCCCCAATGACGCAAATGAGCGGAAGTGGAACGTCAAGAATGATCGATTCGTCCAATTTTATTGGAATTGTGAAATACTGATAAGCGATTTTGCATGATTCGACTTTGTCAGGTGAGGTCAGTTGGGATGCCACAATTTAATCAACTTACGTATGTATGTAATACTTGATCACCATCAAGTTTTCGGGCTTCCCGTTAAGATATGCAGGGTTCCCATCTGACTGGGAAAAATTGGTAGAAATTGGTAGAAAAAATCGATCTGAGGTTGTCAATTTGTGTGCTTCAACTTCACAGCTTCAAATTTTCAACTTGTGAGAAATAATTGAGATGCAACGAGGCCTAAATTCTGAAATTGAGTCGAGCTCGAGTACACGCCAAATTTTTGGACAGCATACTCGAACTAGACCGAGTTCAAGCACGAAGAGATACTCGGTCATCGATCCCTCGAAAAATCGAGCTATTTCTCATTTTCACCCGTAATACGAACTGCTCAGTTGCTTAGACTGGCGTCCTTTTATATGGGAATTGTGACGTACAAATGTCAATCATGTCAGATAATTGGTTGATTGAGTGTTTCGTTTTCAGTTAATTTGGTCAAATCGATTCCGTGAAATTAGTTCGACGCTTCGATAAGAGGGACAGGCTGAACGAGTGGTGTTCGACGTCACTTGAGTCACATACATACACTGGCAAATTTGTTTCTTGGGTGGGTTGAGTCACGGAGTTGATAAATATAAAGCAATTGAGTCTCCAAATTCTTGAGATAAGCGACTAAATTCATTGAAAATAAATTCCCGTAATTTTGTTCATTTGATTGATGGATTATTTATTAAGCAACAGTTCCAACCTAACCCATAGCAACGCATATGTTTATAGATAAGCAGGAATATATGGATGACCTAGTTGCAACGCTTAATAAGCTTTGGAAATGTTACGTAAAAAACCTTTGCCAAAAATTAGATTTTGCTAGGATTTTCATATCATAATTTTTGCAGTCTTTTTCAGTGTCGACTACACAATCACGAAAGGAGGAAACCAGGGATATTGTCCACGCCAGATTTCGATGTCCTTTTTCTTAGGTGAAGCAAATTAATCTCTGGGTGATAGCTAAGAAAAAAAATCACTAAAAAAGTTTACTGGTCACCTGGAAAACTGTACCATAAACATACCTGTGCAGCTTCACTCAATTTACGAAAATTGAGGCTTCATTCACGATGAGGGAGTGAAGGAGAGTGAAGCTGAGTGAGGGAGTTGAAAACTTTCATCGAGTGAGTGAAGCTGAGTGAGGGAGGCCCAAACGAGAAATGAGTGGAATGAAGGGTGAAGGAGTGAAGGAGATCTCCTTCACTCCTTTGTCTCCGGGGAAGAAAAATGAAGGAATATAATTAGTTTAGACACTAAACTCGCCGTCGCAATATTAAAACAGTGCGTCTCACATCACCCCAGGAAAGTCTTATATTACCCCAGCCCAGTCTCATGTGGTCCAAGCCTAGTCTAACAATGCTCCAGCGCAGTCTCACATTGTCCCAGCCTAGTCTCACATTGCCCCAGCCTAGTCTCACATTCCCCCACTAGATGGCGCCAAAATATTTAACTTATGATGACACGAGGGACATGATTGAATGACAGAAAGAGTGAGGAAAATAGCTGAGTGAAAGGAATGAGTGATATGAGAGGAATGAGGGAGTGAAGGGAATGAAGGAGTGAGAATGGGATTGATGAGTGAGTGAAGCCTCACTCAGCCTTCCTTCACGCGAATGAGGGGAGTGAAGGGCTACTTGGCCCGAGCTGAAAATGAGTGAAGTTGAGTGAAGCGAAATTCGCTTGCCCAGGTATGACCATAAAGAAAAACTTCTTTAATTTTCAGTCGATTTTGCTCAAATTTTGCATAATCCCAGTGAAAAGAATTTCTCGACTGGGCGTGGTCGGCATTGGGGTTGTAAGGCATGCCGGGTTCTTCAGCTGTGGTTGGTGGATCAGGAGTGGTTCTGGCTGTGTGCTGCCTGTTGGGTCGGTATTTTAAGGTGTTGTGTAAGTCACATTGCTACGAAGCAGAGGTCGACGCCGCCGATCGTACGCCGCCGAACGATGATATTTTACGCGCCGCCGCCGCCGAAAAATTCGATTTCCTATTCCTTTAACATTGCGAAGCAGCGCCGCGCCGCCAAAAAATCACCAAAAACTGGCGCCGCCGAAAATTTGTCGGCGTCGGCCCCTGCTCCGAAGGGGGGTGAGTCAATCACGTCCGGCGTTACATACAACGCTCAGGACAAACTCTGTGCCTTTTTTTAAACCTGTCATTTTATAGCTTTTACGAAGGAGGGATTCGTAATCGCCTTAACGAAAGCTGGGTTAGTAAATGCATTTAAAAAATACATTTCGTGAACCCGGTTTTTCAGTCAGCGGCAAAATAATTTTGAATGGGAAAGTCATATTCTCACCACGAACAAAATAAGGAGGATTAAATTTAATTAAACTTGAATATAAAATTGTAAATCGATTCCGAAGATAGGTAAGACTGTCAAGGAATATTTTTTACATGAATTTTACTAGTTTTCAACTAGTAAATATTGCACTATTATATTACATTAAAACTGTTGAATTATTTAATTTATTTAAAGTTTGCTACTTCCTCCGCATACTTACAATTAGTAGTTTTTGGTACAGACCGTACCACAAATTAGCAAGTTCCGTACCGTATGGCGCATCAACGCCACGGTGCGAAAAACCCGTAGCGCACCGTAGATTTTGGTGCGGTACGGGAAGTTCGAGATTTTTACGTTCAATAATTTTGACGTTTTACGTTTCCATTACCGTTCCAAAAAACCTTTGGTGCGGTACGGCAACACAAAGACAAACTATGTATGATTACAGGTGTTTAAACCGATGACGATGGAATCTCCGCAATGGGAAACAAACGTGGAACAGATCGCGCTAAATAATCCTATTGTAATCCTAGATAATTTTCTAAATTTCAAAACAATTTCAAACCTGAATTTTAAATATTTCTCAAATTTCTAGATTTTGACGCAAATCCTACAACAGACCGGCACCCCTTTGAAAACTTGTCGACTCATTTCCCACTTTTGGAACGACATGGTTCTCTCCCTGCCAAGTACGAGACTCGCGTTAAATCTGACCAGCAAAAATCCTGTCGCGGAGGAAAATTTCGACAGCGACGATGATGACGACGTGGTCATTGACCCGGGTCCGTTTCTCGCGCTCTTTTTAACATTAGATGAGCGCCTCGCGAGACGTATCTGCGCCACGTGCTCGTCTTCATCGGACTCCACGATCAACCTTTTTGCCTCCAGGCTGCTCCACGTTTGCGACAAGTTTAACGAACGGGTCCAGATTTTAGACGTCTCCGTCCATTCGGAAGAATGTTTACCATCGATTTATCACATTTTGAAGGATTGCTGTCCAAATTTGGCTCAGTTGCGAATTAAAGTCGAACCAGGCACGACATCGCCGAGGTACCTGTTCACTTTCATTCATTTGAATGATGATAGTTAATGAATTTCCTGTCGTTTGAATGAAAATGAATTTCCGGTCGTTTGAGTGAAAATGAATTTCCTCTCGTATGAATGAAAATGACTGACCGACTCCGTCATTTCAGATGAATGACTGTGAATGAAAGGATTTTTCACTCCTTTAATTTTTCATTAAATGCTTAATACATGGGGAGAAGTAAGAAATGAAGGCAGATAAAGTGAATTGAAATGAATTTGAATGAAAATGACTGACCGTGAATGAAAATATTCAGAAATCTACTTTTGAATAAAAACTGAATTTTTGAACAGGTACAATCTTCCCGAAGTTCTGTTCCATCCGCTCCACCCGAAGCCAAATTTGACCACGTTCGCCATCAATGCCAAACTGAACGTGGAGATTCAGTGTCTTATTCAGCTGATTATTAATGCTGCGCCAAATTTAAAACGGGTCACTATTCCGTTAGGATTTTGTCCAGATTTCGCACCTTCCAATCATCTCGAATCCTTAACGATTGGACAAGATGATTTTCACCTACCGGAAACCGCCGACATGTCGAACCTCTTGGCGCAAGTGGGCGACCAGCTGATCACTCTGCGTCTTGGAAACGGGATCATGACGCTAATTGACAAGCCGCTCGGTTTCGAACTGCCGGGACGAAAACTGCCTAAATTAAAAACGTTTCAGAACCTGATGGTCGACGTTTTTCGGTGCGACGACCTCTTCAAGAATATCGCCCGCGGAATGCCTTCTCTGACCCGGATGGAGCTTGGGGAAGCGTTCGAAGGGTCGAAAAGCGTGGATGAAATTTTGCAAGATCTCCGAAATTCGGGGCAGATTGTGGCCAACGTGACGAATTTGGTGCTTATCGGGGTGTACGATGTCGCCCTGTTGGACGGATTGGGGGCCGTGTTTCCGAACGTGGCTGAATTGAAGGTGGATTCGTTATACGAGGGGAAAAACGTCTCGTACAACTGGGTCGGTGTGGCTCGGGGGCCTCCTTGGGGGAGACGTGAGACAGAGCTGGGCGCTGTTCTTGCCGCGTGTAAGGAGTGGGGAGGGTTGAAACGGTTGAAGTTGGGCGTGTCCATGTATCCGAGGAATGTTGAGGGGGTCATTAGGGATCTCCTGGATAACAGGGATTTGTACAGAGGTCAGTTTAAATTTAAGGTATCGGAATTGTAAATTCTGTAGCATCGATAGAAAACTTGGGGCGTTAACATTGTAGGATAGGTGAGGGCGGGGTTTGTATAACATGGGCAGATGATTGATGGGGACATTGTCCCCTCGACCAAAGGATGGTGCTTGTCTATTTCAAGCCGATATATGTCATATTTGTCACAATTCGAATGTGACTGACATTTATGACAAATATGACGGACAAATTGGGCATTTATGAGAATTTGAACTTATCAGATTTGTCACAAATTTTACATGTCTGACATGACATTTTACATGTATGACGTTTCTGACATGTCAAACTGTCAATGACGCGTCACATCCCTACGCTTCTGCAGAAGATGCATAGATTTACATATAAATATTTGCATTATAAATGAGTTCACTACACATATGTACATGGTTCAAAATTTGTGATAGTATTAGTAATAGATTGTAATCGTAATTCTTCTTCAAAATTACCTTACAATTTTTTTTGTCAATTGAAATTTCAGGAAGATTGAAAACCTTGGAAATTAGTCTGATGAGGTGCATGTATTACCCGAGTTACGACTTGACCCCGGACGAGATGAACTTGTTTGAAAATCTACTCATGGAAATGCATGAAATGGACGAGGTCACAATTTCCTTTCTTTACGTGAGTATACATACATATTTGCAGATATGATTTAATTAATTGGTGATTAACAATTTATTTTAATTTTCCAGTTTGGTGAAGAATCTCGGAGGCAAATCTTGGATTTCATGGCGTCCAACGAAATGGAGATGGCCAAGTTTAAGATGTTTCAAGGAGGAAAGACGTGTCGTGGAGGGGATTGATTTTTTTGCACTATTTAATTAGCGATGACTGATGACTCCCATGATGTCCTTCATTTATCGGAAAATCTTTACACCAAAGTTTTAAACCTTTACATACACGGGTACAAAATTTGCATTTCTTGTTAATAAACCTTGTGCAGATAAATGTTTCACTTCAGCCTGTTTATTTTTTGTCGCCATCAAATCTCATAACATTTTAAAAGACTTAAACTAACAATGGAGGTCTCCCAACGTATGCTCACAGAGTTGGACCAAATTAGCGTCAATCGATCACAAATATAATTAGTATGAAATTTGCAAATGGAACTATCTGCCAATGCGCAGGTTTGGCGGAGGTACTTGCATACAAAGTGGGTATATTGCGCAGCAAATTTGGAAAATGAAAAATTTGCCAGCCTTGGGGGTGCGTTTGCTCATCTTTTTATGCAAATATCTCCACCAAACTTGCGCATTGGCAGATAGTTCCATTTGCAAATTTCATACTAATTATATTTGTGATCGATTGGCGCTAGTTTAATCCAAATATGTGAGCATACGTTCGGAGACCTCCATTGTAAGCTATATAGTTTCAAAGCAGGCTAAGAAATGTGTAAAATTCTGTTTTCAAGTGGGTAATAAGTTTGAATGCAAAGTAGAAAAGTATCGACTGCTTAATTAGTATCGTTCAAATATTATGTGTGTGAAAACTAACGGAAATATTGACGTATGTACAAACTTCATAAAGTTAAAATAGTTTAATTCAATGGTCAAACTGGTTAGTCGACATTTTTTCAACTCTTAAAGTTTTTCTTTTGAAATCGATTCCAAACTTAAATGAAATTCTAATTCGTGAACATTAAATGAAAATTTGAACACAATTTATGCATGCGAGTTTATGCATCCCCCTCCCCCCCTGTCCATGATGTGTGGTCGGGGCATAATGAGATTTTTACTGAAATTTAATCTACAGATGAAATATATAGAGTGAAATCACATGTTCCCTAGTTGTGCCACACCCCCAGCTCCAGGAGGTGTGTTTGGGGGAAAATGAGATTTTTACATAACTTGAATCTGTAGATCAAATACAGTGAAATTAAGTATTCCCACTCTGTTGTGGACGCGGTTGGGATGAAATGAGATAATTTGATATCGATGGCTCGGGTGAAGTGAGATAAAGTAAAATCAATGGCAGGGGTGGAATGAGATAAAATAATATGGATGGGGTGAAGTTGAATTTTTCGATATTCAGTATTACATATATAGAGAATTAATTCATCAATTCTTCTGACATCAATGGGTGAAGCTACGTTTTTATGGGCTTTTGGTGCGGTATATTTTGCTGCTACAAATACCTGTCATTTCATGTGCGCTTTTTCGAGACATAAAAGTTTGATCGTGACTGTTTTAAAAATTTGGTGGCCAATTTATTCTTTTCCATAAATGTCTCCAACATAATTCCCCGGTTAGAATGCGTTCAAAAACCAGTTTCAAAAGTTTTTTTTGGTATAGTTAGATTTGTGACAATTTTGATATTTTTGAGCTTATTCATGATATCTGTGTTCATGTTGCTGCTGTAATGATTTGTTGCCCCCTTACTTAAACAAATGGCTTTAAAATTGCAGTTATGCCACAAAAACAAATATGTAACGTGTTGACAAAGTTTTCCACTTGCTAATTCCTTCGCGGCAAGTTATGTACAGGAAAATTTTATGGTTGTAATACTGCCACGTATAAAATTAATTTAAGGTTAACTACGTTTAAAAAAAGTATTTTGCGGGAATGTAACATTGGTAAAGGCGATTTTGAAAATTTTTGGGGAAATGTGAGATTTTGAAAAGTTTGGACTTTTCAGTGCTTGTTTAACTTTAAAATAATATTTTATGGCTGATCAACTCTCAAATAACTTAAAAAACCCTCTTTGTTCTAAAAGTGCGAAGCACCGTTTTTGGAAAGTTGGTAATGCTATAAGTACTAATGGCTCAGGTTCCCGACGGACTTTTTTGCTGGACCTTGTAGTGCCCTCTAATGGCTATCAGAAACCATCAATAACTTGGCAGGGTAGCTGCGCGAATACTCGTTACACCCACTCAAAGTAGCCCCAAACTACGTGTTTTGGATGACATTAACCGCTATATCTCGGCCAAAAATATTTCTAAATCCGCAAAATTTTTGATTTAGAGTCAGCATGAGTTGCTGATTCCGAAAATATATTTTTTCCAGAACCACACCCCCTGGGGAGCTAAGTCCCCCCACAGGGGGTGTGGTCGGTAAATTTTTTTTGGAGCGCATTTGTTTGGTTCCCGTAAAGAGAAATATGTATATATTGACGGGGTTACACCCACCGGTAATTTTGCAACACTCCCCTGACTTATAATAAAATTGACAAAGGGTGAAATAAGTGTTTCATACGCTAAAATGAATACAATCAGATTGTTTCTTCCCGTTCAATTTTTTTCAACACGGTCACTGAGGTGTCGCAGGTCAAAATTATTAACCTATTCGTATTACGTGTCCAAACCCTGTTAAAATTGATACACGTCTTATCCTAAGTCGGATAGAATCCACTGCTTAAATTTGTATTTGGTATCGTTCATGAAACTAATGAAATATTGACGTTCATAAAGTTAAAATTTAACTGAGTGGTGAAACCGGTTAGGCAACTTTTTTAATAAGTGGACTTTTTTCTAGTAAAATCAACCTCATATTTAAATGAAAATCGAAATTTTAATTCTAAAGATGATTACATGACAATATCGACACACCACAATTTATGGTTTTTGATTATTTGATTTTACATGTGCGTGCCTGCCTTAAATTGTTAACACATTTGGATTTAATTTTGAAATCTTAAAAAAGCAGAATCTTACAAAATACAAAATGCCACAAAATATGAGCCAAGTTTTCATGAAGAAACAAAGACCCGGATTTTCAGTCGAGTTGACTCGACTCGAGCGGTAAATTAATTTTGATTCAGGAAACGTTTCCTCCCTACGAATTTCTTTCATTGGATTTCTCTTCATTTGGATTAAATTGAAGAACAGCGGAAATTAAATTGTAAATCGACTCCAAATATTGGTAACATGTCAGGTAATATTTACTGCATACATTTTTAATCCTTTGCAAGTTTAACATCATTTGTTACAGAAACATTAAACTCTAAAATTTAATTTGTAAACACTAAAATTTTGTTATTTCCTATTAATTATAGCAATTTTGCGATGGAATCTCCACGTGGGGAAACAGACATGGGACCAGTCGTAATTGCAAATACATATTTTTTCATAAATACATTTTTTAATTCATTACCAATACACAATTAAATTTGGCTATTTCTTCCATTTATTACAGCAATTTAACTCGGGAACGATGGAATCTCCATGTGAAACAAGCGTCGAACAGATCCCATTAAATAATCCGATTGTAATTATATATATGTACATATACATAATTTTCAAACGATTTCGATATTTTTCAACTCGATATTTCTCAAATTTTCAGATTCTGACGCAAATCCTGCAACAAGCTGGCACCCCGTTGAAAACTTGTCGACTCGTCTCCCACTTTTGGAACGACATGGTCCTCTCCCTCCCAAATACGAGACTCGCCTTAAACCTTCACAGCGAAGGTAACGAAACTGACGAGGACATTAACCTCGGTCCTTTTTTCGCCTTCTGTTCCACGCTAGATGCCCGACTTGCGAAACACATCTGCGCCAAGTCCGACACCACGATCAGCTACTTCGCCTTCAAGCTGCTCCACGTTTGCGACAAGTTTACCCATACCATCCAAATTTTGGAGGTTTCCATCCAATCGAAAACATCGTTATCACCGATTTACGACATTTTGGAGAATCGCTGTCCAAATTTGACCCAGTTACGGGTAACCGTCACCCCAAGGAAGAATTCAGCACAGAATCTTCCGCAAATTGTGTTTCAACCGAAACCGAAACGATTGCAACACATATAATAGAGAATCCTGATCACAGGATTCAAACAGAGTCAGCAACTCTCATTCATCGGGAAGAGCGATATTTCCACAGGAAATTCAAGGAGGGATTGTTAATCAGAAATACACGAAACAAAATTAATCGGGACTTAGGTATGGAAATAAACCCAATTTGGACATCGCTACTCCTGCCCCTAGCGCCAACGCTTATACGCCCAACTACTATCCCGGTTACCCAGCGACCCCATTGATGTCAACAACTTCATCTAATTTTGAAAATATTATCTTCCATGAAATTATAAATTTTTTCATGTACACTTTTACACCTGAAGAAGGGGGCAGTTGAACCCTGAAAGCTCGTGAATAAATCAACTTAAAAATGTCATCCATACGATCCGATAATTCTAACTTAAATTAGAAAATAGTTTTTTATAAAAAAAATTACTTCAATTTGGATGTGATAAAACAATAATGCACGATCACGAAAATTAGGAAAATTACTAAAAGGGAGCGAAAATTGAATTTTTGGTAAAAGTTTAAATGCGGCAGTTCTAGCGGATGTAATGCTTTTGAGGGGATGTGGCGGAAATGGGGCCATGGAGTACAATCCTCCTTCAGTTTTCGTGCACACTTTAGAACTACCTAGTACTGCTGCATATCTTGAAGGAATCAAAGCAGGGAGCTTTGAAGCTTAGATGTAATATGAGAAAGGAAGACCCGGGTCTCGGGTCCGGGTTCGGGTCCGGGTCCAGATCCGGGTCTAGAAATTTCAATCAGATCAGTAGTTATGGGACCCGGGTGAACCGGGTCCGAAGACCCGTTTCTAAATTCGGGTCCGGGTCCCACCTGGGACCCGACCCGTTGCAAGCACTGCCTCCGCAGTTTACGCGAAAATGCGCGTCTTTGTCGCCGCTATCTGCGTAAAGAATTAAATGCCAAGTTAGTTAGTGTGAGGAACATACCTGTTCAGTTTCATTCATTTGACTGATTATGCCAGTGAATCAAAATGACTGAAAGATTCCGTCATTTCATATGAATGAATGAAAGGATTTCTCACTCTCACGACTCATTTCATTTTTCACCCTATGCATTATACATGGGGCGAAGTAAAGAAAATAAGAAATGGTTATGAAGTCAGATGAAGTGAAATGAATTTGAAAGAAAATTACAGATTGTGAACGAAAATTTTCACTCATAAATAGGGATGCATGGACTTTGAATGAAGTTTTTTTTGGCATGGTGAGGAAAGTTGAACATTGGGGGGCGGGGGTCTGTGAGTGAAAAATCGAAGCTAAATCTTTACATCAGTTCTTTGTAAGCTGTTCAATTACCTTTTTAACTGGGGTGCTACATATGTCCGATTTTGTTGGCGACATTTCCCCCAATTTCCATTGAAATAACTGGTTCACACATAATTTTTAAATTAGTTTGCCACAAATCCCTACCGATTAAAAAAAAACTTGCCCTTACCTCTCCGCCCTTAATACTTAACGCAAATGTTATACCACGACCACCGCACACGACGCAGATAAGCTCCTTGTTATCTTATACAACTGGTATACTAATACAACTTCCAATTAAAGCAATAAGGAAGTTGTCTATTTTACAAATATTTTTTTTGCGAGCATTTAATGTAAAAAATTGTAGTGCAATTGTGCATGAGTGAAAGGTAATTGTCATTTGTGCGACATTATACTATTATTTTCATTTTTATTAAACTGTAACAATCATTACTTTATTATCAACTTCTTAATCATGTTGTAAAATAATACATGATTCTACTTTATTTTAATCATCTCTCAATTGCCACCTAAAAAGAGGCGAAACGCCAAACAAACACCATCGCCACTTTGTTGAAGGCTTCCTGACCAATCAACTCAATCAGCTGCTGGGTCGACATATTCTTTAAGTTGAGATGGGATACATACCGTACAATTTATTGGACCACCTGCGCCTCTAAAATCTGAAACAATGCACAAAATTCAAAATTAGATAGGATACGGAATCATTAAAATAATAAAGCAAATCCGATGAAGTAAAATACCAGAGCATTCGCAGAGGAAGCGTTTCGAGCGAGAAAAAACGCATTTTCCGTGTCAATCCCGCGGATCAGAATCTTCTCACAGTCTCGCGCAACGTTGGTGGCGCCGTAAGAATCCGCTAATTTCATGAGCTCTAAGAAGTAAATTCATATGAAAATTAACTAAAATCATAGAATTTAAATCAGCCCAGGCAAAATTCTCATTCCGAAATTCGAATACACCTTACCAAAAATGCTTTCGTACTCATCCTCCGAAAAGTTGACCCTGTCGTGATACAGGTAGAAGAGGAAGGCTTCAAACGTGGCGTGTTTTGTGTCCTTGATCTCAATCACGCTGTTAAATTTAAACATATAGTAAATAATTACAATTTTCGAGAAAAGTATTTCTGAAAATATGTACTCACGATCCTGCCATAGTTTCCTTCCACTCGTTGCTAAACATTTTCGCGAAATAATCACTTCTCGATTTCAGTATCAATTTGTGCGCCGTGATGGTTTTACCGTCCAGGAAAAATGACACGTCGGTATCATCCTGTAAAGTAAATGAAACGTGCGTTACGTACTTTTGAAAATTTGGCAGCCCCCTAAATTTAAAGTAACCTTGGTTCTCCACAAGTTGGAAATTTCCAGACCCAACGTGCCCTTCTCGACTGGCCTAATTGGACTTGACATCCCAATCGTGCAGTGGCTTTTTTGACAAAGGTCGGCAAAATGTTGGCCTAACGAGGAACCAGATTTTAAAGATGACGACGTCCCAGTCGTAGAATCCCACGCGACATGGGTCCCATCCTTCAACTCCACGACCGCAACGTTTTCCATCCAACAGGTTGCGATGTCTTGCACGTTGTTTTTGAAATGTGGCGCCACCTCCCATACTGGATTCCCTTCAGATACCGTTCTGCAAATGTAAACCGTTCCTTCCGCAGTTAACGCGCAGATCGACTTCTTCGTCGCCGCTATCTAGAATTAGAAAAACGAAAAAATTAAAATACGTACAGTAAATTAATTGAATTTTAAATAATTTCGAAAAACAAAATTCTTTGTAACGCAAGGGGACTCTACTGGTTCAAAAAAAAATATTTGTCATTCAAAGGTCAGTTATCCTAATTTCTGACCGAAGATCTTCATTAACATTTATAGTCATTATCTTTCAAATTCATTTGATTTCACTTCATCCGACTTCATTTCTTACTTCGCCTCATGCACTAAGCATAGGGTGAAAAATGAACGAGAGAGAAAACCTTTCGTTTATCTGAACTGACCAAATTTGTCAGTCATTTTCATTAAAAAATGATAAGAAATTCATTTTCATTCACGATCATAATCAGCCAAATGAATGAAAGTGAACAGGTATATGAAGGAGACAGGAATCGAAAAATGGTCTCTCCCTTCAAAAGTAACACTTAAAGTGTTACTTTAAAGTGTTACACTTTAAAGTAGAGTAATGTAGCAAATTCAAATTCTTCAATCACCTTTTTAACTGGAGTGTTACATATGTCAGATTTTGTTGGCGAATCCACATCCAAGTCCCATTGAAATATCTGCACAAAATTAATTAAAGTTAGTTCTCCAAAAATCCCCAGCACATTCTTCTTACTTTTTACCTCTCCATCCACACTTAACGCGAAGGTCACACCGTCAAAACCGCAAACGACGCAGATAAGCTCTTCACAGTCAAATTCTTCATTTGGAATTAACCTTCCCCCTGGTGAGTCGGTGTCGCCACCCCACTGAATGACATCTCCATACGCAGTTAACGCCACGACGCGACCTTGTTCAAGTTCAGATAGCGCAACCTGCACTACTTTCTCCCACTGTGTGACGGCCACAGTTCCTGGGCGACCAATAAAGTTAGGATCTGTCGCCTCATCCACTTCAACGAAGCGACCCAGCTGCTCATAAATATTTGGATGCATTTCTGCACCTGAGGTGAAATTATTGCACCAGGATAAGAGTCGTCCGTCCTCCGTTAGTGCGAGGCTTATCGAGCCAGTCACAAATTCTGAAATGAATTATAAAACATGTTTGCACATTTGTAATTTTCTTTAAATAACGAGAACTTGTATTTTCGAAATTCGAATATTTCTTTACCTTTCACCTGGACTCGGCAAAGTTCTGGAATGTTTGTGATTTTGTGCGCACCGTCGTCTTCTCGGAGGAAAGAGTACGTTTCGTCCGCCGTGGTGACGACGAGGGCTTCCTTTTCATTGGCGACGTGTGCTAATTTCGCCAACTTTAAAATTTCTTCTCCTTCGGGTCCCACGTCGCGGAATATTTTCCAAATCTTCAAATTTTCTTGAGGAATGACGGACCGGGAGGAGGTAGATGGCTCCATTTTAGCTTGAAGTCAACCTATCCAATAGAGCAAGTGATAAGCATTAAGACGGGTAATTAGATAAATTATTAATTATGAAAAATAAATTAAAATTTTTAACCGTCAGCAAAAATGCGAAGGCAGATCAGCATGTGAGTGAGCCGGGCTGCTGCAACTCTATGCCAAGTTGAAAATGAGACAAAAAAAATGCACATAAATCGTGCAAAATAAATTATTATCAGAGCTGGGTGATTATTGGTTTTTTAGGGTGGATTAAGGATTATGGATTAACCACAAAATAATGTGGATTGTGATTAAATTATTTTCGTGAGATTAATTCATGTCAGGATTAATCCGGATTAATCCATAAATTCTGGAAATTTCAGGATTATGGATTATGGATTAATAATCCGGATTAATTTGGTGATTAATGATTTTTACACTATATCTAGCGCAAAAACTTCAACTATGTGGTTTCACATAAAATATTTAAAAGGCCAGTTTCAATTGATATATGTAGCACAAGGCAGCGAGAACATGTTGATTCTTCAAATGGTAGCTGACAGAACAAAGTTGTGAGAACTTGAGACTTCAAGCTACACAGTGGGATGAAATGGAACTGGGAATTGAACTGAGTAATCCAGATTGAGAATTAATCATGAATAGGTAATCATCATTAGTAATCATGATTTGGATTAATCTGGATTAATAATCATGATTAGTAATCATGATTGGGATTAATCAGGATTAGTAATCCGTAATCACGATTATGGATTAATGAAATCAAATGGGATTATTCCCGGATTAATTCTAATTCCTGAAAAATCGGGATTATAGATTGGGATTAATCTACAAAAACTCTCATTGCCGGATTAGGGATTATGGATTAATAATCCATAATCCGGGATTAAAATCCATAATCCTTAATCAGGATTATCCCAGCTCTGATTATTATGCATGATTGCAAGTAATTATTTTAAATAATTACTTCTAATTATAATTTTAAATACTTATTTAGTTAACGTGAGGTAATAATTTAATAATTAAATTATTAGTCATAATTTTGCAGAATTTCTATGCATTTTGTGCCTCCTGTTCCCCATTTCAACTTGACATAGAATTTGCAGCAGCCCGGCTCGCTCACATTTCAATGACGTTGGCCTCAGCGCCTAGCACCTCAGGCCACAGGTTCTTGTTACAAAGTAGTGCAAACTGTTATTATTCTCATCTAGAATTTGTGACTGGCTCGATAAGCCTCGCACTAACGGAGGACGGACGACTCTTCTCCTGGTGCAATAATTTCATCCCTGGGGCAGAAATCCCTGATAATCTGAGAGACCAGATAGATCGCTACCCTGTTTCAAATGTGGCCACGGATCCAAACTTTATTGGTCGCCCACAAACCGTGCGCCATGCAAGGGGTGACAAAATAGTGCAAGTCGCCCTGTCCGACCTTGAAGCAGGTTTCGTCGTGGTGTTAACTGCAGGGGCAGATGTGTACCATTGGGGTCCGCGGGGTACGGGCATGGACAGAAACCCGCACCCTTTAATTTCAACTCCAGCATTTGGCTACGAGGAGCTTATCTCCGTCGTGTGCGGGGTTAGAGGGATCAGCTTCGCGTTAAGTGAGGATGGAAAGGTAAGGCCGAGAAGGTTCGAAATTTTGACATTTTTCGAAAACTAAATGTTAATATTTCATTACAGGTTTTTGAATGGAAATATCCCAAGTAACATTTGTGCCTTGGCATTGACTTGGCCCGGGTCCGGCTATGTGGCTCACCTTCGGCCACGTCAAAAAAGTAACAAAACGTGGATGGGCCAGCATCGGTTCAATTCTAATTCTGAGTTGATGGAATATTGGCGTGGCCCACATTTGGCATTTAACCAAACCCCAAGTAACCCCTCGCCAGGCATCTTATGATTGTGGCCCAAATCAAGCTTGACGGGCATGGGCCAAGTCCGTTCGGCCGAACGATGGCCCAAATAAGGTTACACGGCTGCCGTGCTTTCTTCTGTCTAGCAGTTCCGGCATTCTCCGTTTTTCCAGTCGTGTTCCACTCGTGATCACGTGAACATATATAAACGTGCTCTGATTTTTAACATGTCGACTTTTAACTTAGAGGCATTTCCATTTTGTGTCGTTGAGTTTGTCGATGATAAGGACAAATTAATTTACGTCGAAGCCGTCCCTCGATCTTGGGTCAACGAGGAAAGTAGGGTGTGTCGCTGGCCAAATATAGCCGGACCTCAACTTGATAAACTACGTAAAGTTCAGTCAAGTCCCGAAAATCAATGGATAACCTACAATAACATCAAGATCTTGAAATTATGTTGTAAGCTCGTCACCTTGTAAATTGAAAATTGAATTTGAATTTATACTTGAAATAATAACTAATAAATTATTTCAGCCGACTTTAAGACTGCCAGAAGTAAGGCCATTTTAGCGGAGACAAAAAACTCGCTGGATACAAGTGAAGATCTTAATAAGGGGAAGAAAAAAACACGGGGTGCTAAAAATCAATTAAAATCAACACGGGACTTGCCATCAGAAAGGGATAATAGTTCATCATCATCGTCGTCATCCATTTTGGCAATAAATTTTTGCTCCTCACTTGAACCGCCTACGTCGATTTTTGGTAATTTGTTACACCACTATAATTTCAATTTTCAAATTCCAATTTTCAATTTTTAAGTTAATTAAGTTATTTTCTGACGTTGTTCATTCCAGTCGATCCTCCGAGCAATAATAATGATCAAATTATTATCCCCTCCACATCACTTGCTCAAAATGTTGCTGGATCTTCTACCGTTGAATTAAATGAGCCAAATGTAGCAGATAACTCTGAGATTATCTGTTCTGACAATTTCGTGGTTGTTAATGATGGTCTATTAGCACAGTTGACTCAGACAATTCAGGGTAAAAGTAAAATCTTCAATAATTATGTCTAATTTTTAATATTGCAATGATATAATTCCAGATTTTAAGGAAGTGATTCTTCGAGAAATTCAAGAGGTGAAGAGCGATATTGCTATTATTCGAGCTCAAGTTTTGCAACAAAACAAGACCGCTGTGGTGCCAGCCAGATGTTCTAAAATTCCTATGAAAACTGTAGAGGATTGGTCTGAATTAGAAGTTTGGTTGGGATCAGTTGAAGAAGCAAAACAGATTATTGTATGGTTGTATTTTCAAATTATTTTATATTTTTAATTATTATTAAAATCTTTTGGTTATTCTAAATTTTATAAATTCAGGTCACAGACTTGGAATTGATTGGAGGCAATGATTTGAATGACCTTACGAGAAGACTTCTTGCGCGAATAATGACAGCGGAATTATCGAAGCAGGTCAATTTCACAGGTGCAAACGGGAAATTAAACTTTGGCGCTTCACCCTTTTACAACATCTTGATTGGTAAAACGTGTTTCAAAATTGTTTCCGTTTTATCGAACATAATGAAAAATGATTTCAAATAGAATATGGTCATTTTTATAGAATCTATCCGATGTTATTCCGACTACAGCAACACGCACGAACGGAAAATACGTCAATGTGTCATGCGATGGTTTAATAATTCAAGTGACCGGGATGGAGGAAGAGAGAGGCGTAGAAAAAATAATCAAGCCGAGACGGTACAATAACTGCTAAAAAATGGACAGATTTTCAGAAACAACGAAGCGTCGAAGAATTGCAGCTACTGTTTCTTCAATCCTTAATGAGTTAGATGTAAAAAATACTTCTAGATTTAATAGCACTCCAATAAGTACAAATAGTTTAGATAGGATTTTAAGTAATCAACAACAAAGTAGTTTAGTTACGAGTAGTGCAGAAAATATAATTTCAGATCAAAATCAGGGATCTTCTGTTAGCGTGGCCAGTATTTATGGAGATAATTATTTTCAAATTAATGAGAGCCCGTGTTCACAATGTGAGTCCAACTCAAGTGATAGTGACAATGAAGAGAAATATGACATCAGAGCGAACTTAGCCAGTTGGTCTGTTCGACACAACATTACGCATGTAGCTCTTAAAGAACTCATCCAAATTTTTCGAAATCTGAAGCCATTTGTTGACCTCCCGCATGACCCACGCACACTTTTAAAAACCCCCAAAGAAATTATTAAAACCCCAATAGGTACCGGGTTTTATACCCATTTTGGAATAAAAGCTGGAATCCTTAGAAAATTAGCTGAAGGTCTTTCCCAAAAACACAAAAACTTTCCTGGCTTAGTTCGCATATAAACTTAATATCAATTTGTATCGGAATTGACGGTCTCCCCTCTCAGGATGTAGTAACACTCAAATTTGGCCTATTTTATGTTCCATTGATCAATCTATTTGTCAAAAACCATTCTCTATTGGACTTTTTGGTGGAAAACAAAAGCCTGAGTTATTGAACTTGTACCTAAAGGATTTTGTTTCAGAAATGGTAGAGTTAGAAGATTCTGGAATTTTGTTTAATGAAATCAAATACGTCGTACGAATTAGGGCAATAATTGATGACGCTCCGGCAAGAAGTTTTCTTAAGTCATGTTGTCAATTTAATGGCTACAATGGGTGTGAACGGTGTACTGATAAGGGAAGGTACGATAAAGAATTTAGGAAAGTAATTTTTTCAGAGTTAAATGCCTCTAAACGAATTGACACAGATCTGACAAGCCCACACTTTACAGCAATATCCCCTCTGACCTCCCTCAAATTAGGAATTGTGTCACAATTTCCTCTTGATTACATGCATATGTGTTGCCTGGGTGTCATGCGGAAGCTCATGTACATTTGGATTAAAGGTGATTTAGTAGACAGACTGTCTGCAAGCCAGATATTTCAATTATCTGAACATCTTAAGTCTCTAACCCCATATATTTCTCATGAATTTGCAAGAAAGCCAAGATCGGTTAGGGAAATTGACCACTGGAAAGCCACAGAATATAGACAGTTACTGCTATACACTGGAATTGTTGTTTTAAAAAATCGTCTCAGTGCCCCAAGATATCAACATTTCTTAAAATTTTGTGCTGCCATGCACATTCTTCTTTCTAAAAATTCTTCTAATGAAGGTGTAAGATATGCTGAAAATCTTTTGAGGGCGTTTGTTCATGATTTTATTACTTTGTACAGCAGAAAATTTCTTGTATATAATATTCATAGTCTTATTCATTTGGCGGATGATTATAGAAAATTCGGATCCTTGGATAATATTTCCGCATTCCGGTTTGAGAATGAAATGCAAACTTTCAAGCGAATGACTCGTGGTAGAAATAGAAAGCTTGAACAAATAGCTTTACGGCTCTCTGAAACTAACAGTGTTGGTCTGTTTAACCAGAAAAGAATCGCAGCTAAACACCGTAAATCAATAATTATTCCAGATATTGGTTACGCTAACAGTAATACAGGAAATAATTGCTTTTTGACACAGTCTGGGGATATTGTCTTGATTAGTGAATTTACAAATTCTAAAAAACGTGTGTATGTAAGAAAGTTTACTGAAAAATCGGGCATAAATGATTTCCCTTGTGACAGTACAGTTTTTAGGATTTATTTATGCAGTAAACTATCAAAACATGTATATTGTTATAATTTGAGCCACATTGCGAGAAAATGTCTAATGTTACCTTATTGTAGTGACACATTTGTTGTTGTTCCTCTAGTTCATAGTAGGGTTGCCGCGGGTAGCGAAAATGCTACCCGTTACCCGACCCGCTACCCGCAGCACAACTACCCGTACCCGCACGGGTACCCGTTACCCGCTACCCGTAATGAAAATTGACTTAAAACCTAACCAGCCTTAAGAATAAATTCCATTTAATTAATTGGCTCATTTGGGTTGATATGTAATTTCAGATAATGCTGCGCAAGTAACGAATGCCGTAAATTGCTATGGGAATATCCGCAGTTGTTCTGAAACCAAACTTTTTGACTTGCAATGGAACGTTTTTCAAACTACATCGGGATTTCTTAACGAATGATATCAAAAAATCAAGTTAAAAATTAGGAATTATCACTAATCTTTCCCTTGAATAGCCCGTAGGAAACTATTTGGATCAGAGTTCAAAGTCCACCATGATTTTCGTCCAGTGGAGGAATAAGATGCTGAACATTTACTTAAAAATCGAACTTTGCCTCCAATATTTTTCTTTAAAGTGGACATTCAACGGAAAGTATCATGTGATTCCTAATTTTTGGCTTGACTTTTTAATATACTCTCTAGATAATCTTGGTGTAGCTTGAAGAAAGGTTCAACTTTTAGTTTGATTTTTTTTGGAATTTGATTTAAATTTAAGTTTTCATTTTAAAAATATCTACAAATAAAATTTTAGCCTTCAATCGGATTCAGGTTTTTCATCTTCAACGAACAAATTAAAATCTCGTCAGTCTTACACAAATAAATAAATACAAAATAAATACAAATAAATACATAAATAAATACAAGTCAAATTGTTACTCAGATTTTAGAGCAGGCAAATTTTACTTGAGAAACAATAATTTCATTTTAGGGACGTGAAAAGCATATCAGGCTGCCATAGGCTTCCGTGGCTTCCGAAAAGACACGCACGCTATAAACCCTAGTTGCTGGAAAATAGCAAAGTTTGAAATAGATAAATAATAAATTGACGCTTTTGTTGGTAAATGGACTAACTTGCTGCTAGCTTTCTTTGTGAACTGATATATGTCGAGAATTAAATAAAAACAGAACTACCCGTTACCCGTGCGGGTAGTTCTCGCTACCCGCAGAAAACGGGTACCCGCAAGAATCGTGCGGGTATGCGGGTAACGGGTACCCGACCCGTTACCCGCGGCAACCCTAGTTCATAGCTTAATTGAATAAAATATAAATCATTCAAAAAATAAAAATTCTCATTACGGCGTTTATTTGGATGGGGGCCGGCAAGGGAACAAAATTACGAACATGGGCCACAGAAGGGGTATTCATGGGCACGCGTATGCATGCCAAGTCTGCCCCACACATGGGCCACTTATGGGTTAAATGCACTGATGAGTTTCGGCTCACTACTGGTGGCCACGACCGGCAGGGGGGCACAAATCCTTACTTGAGCCGCGGCCAACCCCGGAACTCGCCCGAGTTCGGATGGCCGTGGCGGCCCTAAGAAAGGCCAAGGCCAAAATGTTACTTGGGATGGTACCGATTATATTAGAAGGTCTTACATATGTGACACCCCGATTAAAAAGGTAAAAGAAATCTGTATTTTTTAATGAATCATTTTTTACGTCGTGAAATTGAATCCAGTCGCACTGATTGATTGATTGACTCTTATAGTTAGTTAGTAGTTCCCTTTAACCTCTATGACACTACTGATTTTTTAATAAAATTTCTCTTCGGTACGATGTTAATAATTTCATAATTACACCTGACAGCAACCAAATAAAATTTTTAATGATAATAATGTCCCTGAACAATTTGACATTTAATGACAGTCATTTTTAAATCTTTCAGTTTTTAACGAAAAACACGAAAAATCCACTTTTGAACATTGGTCGGTATAGGGAAAATTCCAAAATTTGTGAAAAATATATTTTTAAAAATCCATTTTTTTACCATCGAGTTTTTTTTTACAAAATATAAAAGAAATCTTCTTATTTTTGAGAAATTTTGGTGTCAAGATAATTTCTGCCGTACACATTCAACGGAAAATAAAATATTACACTAATATGTGTATTTCGTCGTTAAGAGGTTAATTCATACGTAGCAACGTTTAAAGTAATTTAATTCTTTATGCAGATAACCGCGGCAAAATCGTGCACTCTCGCCTTATCTGCGGAAAGAACTCTTTACTTTTGTAGAACGGTGTCCGAAGACAGTGCAGTATGGGAGGCGGCACCAAGGTTCAAAAACAACGTCCAAGACATCGCAACCTGTTGGACGGAAAACGTTTTGGTCGCCGAGGGGAAGGATGGCACCCACGTCGCCCGAAATTTGACCACTGGCAAGTTCTCATCTTCAAAATTGGCTTCGGTGGACGAATATTTTGCCGAGCTTTGTCAAAAAAGCCACCGCACGATTGGGATGCCAAGTCGAATTAGGCCAATCGGGAAGGGCACGTTGGGTCAGGAAATTGCCAACTTGTGGAGAACCAAGGTTACTTGAAATTTTGAGGACGAGTAAATATGTATTTAAAAGTTTGTAACGTTTCATTTGCTTTACAGAACGATGTCGACGTTACATTTTCCGTGGAGGAGAAAACCATCACGGCCCACAAATTAATTCTGAAATCAAGAAGTGATTACTTCGCAAAAATGTTTAGCAACGAATGGAAGGAAACTGAAGGATCGTGAGTTCCTACCTTAAAAAATGATGTCATCTTATCACTGAACTGAAAATGATTTACAGCGTGATTAAGATCGAGAACACTGAATACGTTACTTTCGAAGCCTTCCTCTTCTACTTGTACCACGACAAGGTCAACTTTTCGGAGGATGAGTACGAAAACATTTTTGGTAAGGTGTATTCGAATTTCGGAATAAGAATTTTGCCTGGGCTGATTTAAATTGTATGATTTTAGTTAATTTCTAATCCTTTCCTATGAATTTACTTATTACATAGACCTCATGAAGTTAGCGGACTCTTATTGCGCCACCAACGTTGCGCGAGACTGTGAGAAGATTCTGATCCGCGGGATTAACACGGAAAATGCATTCTTCCTCGCTCGACGCGCTCCCGCCGTGAATGCTATGGTATTTCAAGTTATTTCACTTATTTTACTTTTTTGATGAGCCCACGTCTAATGGAGTTTGTACGTATTGTTTCAGATTTTGAAGGGGAAGGTGACAAGATTTATTGTGGAGAATTGCACCCATCTCAACGTAGGTCAATTGTGGCCTCAAGAGCTGATTGAGATGATTGGACAGGAAGCCTTCAGAAAAGTGTTGATGGCGCGACCTGAGCCGTCATGAAGGTTGGGCTTTGAGTAATGACCAAAATAATAAAAATCATTATTTATTTATATTATTTTCCAAGATGATTAAGGAGTTGACAATCAATTAATAACGTTTACTAATTAATTAGCCCTGTAAAGGTTTTGAAATTTTTGAAACTAAGAAAATATCATAGCATTATTAGCTTCACACCATTCACTTTCGACCCCACATACAAAATTCCACTATATCTTTACAAATTACAAATCTGCAGATTTCTTAGGTGATGTAAAATTATTTCATGTGGAATCTGGTGCAATATGCGTAAGATAGGTATCCATGCAGTGGTGTTAGTTAGTAGTTAACTACAATTTTTAGCAAAAAGTAGTTGTAGTTAAGATTCAACTCCTTTTCTAAAGTAGTTGAAACAAACTTGTTAACTACTTTCTCGGATGGTATTGTTGACGAACAACGCCTTAACTACTTTTCAATAGGACTGCCAATGAGTTGAGTTGAGCTGAGTTGAGGGTTAACTCAACTCAACTCAATAAGAAAAATTACCGACTCAAACTCAACTCGACTCAAATTAGTCTCAACTCAAACTCGACTCAACTCAAATGTTAACGACTCAAACTCAACTCATATCGACTCGCCTTTTTTAGAGTAAAATATTTATTTAAATAAATACGTTCAAAAGTGGTTAAAAATCTCGTTAAACGTATGATTTTTAAATAAAATTTCCGTTGAGAACGATATTGGTAGTCACCAGTTACAATTTTCATGATTTCCTACAGAAGACTAAAAGCTACAAATACAAAATTGTCAAAATTGTCAGTGTTCATTTCGATAAGCTAATCAACAAATCGATATACGATGACGATGGATATGGAGAGCTTAGTATGTGTATTTTACAGTGTAATTTTTCATTCAAAATTTTTTGACAATTGAACATTTTTCCATTTTTGATTTCAACCCACCCAGCAAATCCAATCTTGAAATATTTGAGAGAAAGTGATTCACGAGATTTCAAGTGTGAAAAATCGAAAAATGTGAATAATTTTATCACAAATCGCTGACTAGAGATTTAGTAGCTTACTTTCATCAAGGTGAAAATCTCGAAATGAACAAACTGGCATTAAAAAAATCCTCATTTTCCATAACTCAACTCAAACTCATTATTTTTCAACTCACTCATTTCAAAGTGAGTCGAGTTATACTCTCGACTCAAACTCAACTCACTAACTCAATGAGTCAAATGAGTTGACTCGAACTCATTGGCAGTCCTACTTTTCAACTACTTTTCTATGTTTCCTCTTCCAGTCAGATATTGGTATTTCATTGGAAGGGGCATCTCATATCGGCGCCAAATTTAAGTTTAGCCGTAAATATGAATGGATCCCTCATCAAGGGTCCTAGTAGATTCTAAAAAAACATGGTGGGTATCCTGGACACGACGGGCACCTCAGAAGTTTCCCTTGTTAGGCTTACGTGGTTCTTGTTGTTATCAAACCTCTGAAAACCTCTTTTATCAGATTCTGAGGCAAATGAAATTAATTTCTTTAAACCATACGTAACTTCATTGTTAATCAAGGATGATATTTAAGTGCTCGGATCAGCATGAAATTTTGAGAATATTCACGCGTGATTGAATTTCTCATATCATTTGCATGTACATAAATCCTAATTTCTTGCATAAATCTCAAATTTCACAAAAATCTCAAAGTTCCCCACTAATCTCAAGTTGTAAAGAAATCTCAAATTCCTTAAAAATGTCAAATTTCCTAAAAATCCAAAAATTAACTAATACATGGTTAAGTAAAAATTAAAAACTATTTTAAGTTTCTGTAGACGGTCAATTCCTCAGTTGACGGCTAATTGAAGTTCCATACAAGATGGAATTTCATCACAAGTGCAAAGTTTATTCAAACTCTTAAATCCATTTAAGATAAGCCAATCTAATTTGTGTCCCTTCACTGTTTAGAATTCAAATTGAAGTATGTGCAAGTAATTTTCATTTCTCATCCAGTCCAACAAACAACTATACCTGTACCACCTACAAAACGGCAACCACGGTGCGTAAATATGCAAGTAAAATTGTAAGAGGAGATGACTGTGGTGTAATTTCCTCGCCAAGGCCATTCCCGGGGAGAGGACGTGAAGAGTAAGGGCTGTAGTTTGATATTCACCTCTCCGTTAAATTTGCTAAATTTTAATTCGTATCCTGTCGATGCAGCAACCAACTAGTGTAAGTTATAGATCTATTTAATTTATAATGCCAATACTTGTTTTGAGTGTTGAGTTTTGAGAAATATGCTTTATAATAAGTAATAACAAAAGAAGGCTACATTTCTTTAACCAAAAAATAACACATCACTCTGAAATCGAATGTCGTTTGCAGCGTTGCATTTATGTAAAAAATAGCTGGCAATAGTTTATCGTTTAGATACTTAGCACATTCAAGAGTATGCTAAGTATCTTAATTCCATAGATGATTATTTAAATAATACCATGGTTGTGTCATTCAGTTTCCGGAAATGTAGACCGCAAGACGGATAACGTCCGCCCTCAATTCCATTGCAAGGCCGGAGTACATCCATCTGGGAATAAGCGTGGCATCGTTGCAATTAATTCTGGAAAATATTCAGTAATGTTTTACTTGTATGTGAAATATTATATAATAAATATAACTGTACATTGTCTACGTAGGGTTTGCATGTTCGAGCACAGACAAAGTTTACGATTGAACAAGGCTTCCTTGACAAAGACCCACTAAAATTCGTGCGCTCAAATATTTAAGCTCTATTGCATATTATTTAAATAAGATGAATTATGTTTTTAATTTAATTGTTGACGTCGAGCAAACCAATGGACAAGCCACATAAGCGCACTGTAAATAAAGTGCATAATGATCATAATATAGTTCATAATTTGGTTATAGTTTATACAGATACAGAAGTTCGGGCGTAGATGCATCCTGTTCGAAGCCTCCGAAGTGAAAGGACGGACGGGAGGAAGATCCAGACGGACCATCAAATCCAGGGTTGAGTTTGTATTTACCATTGTTATTATCTTGTCTAATAAATGCAAAATCCATGCAAAATTCCATTCCATACGAGGTAATTTATGTGTCTAAAATAATTATCCTAAGTTGTCGACGATATCGACTGTGTCGAGAGTAACCGCACCTCCACCATTCAGGACAACCATATTCGTTCCTTTCTAAACAGGTTAAACTCATTAAAAGGGCAATTGAACCTTCAGGGGAGATTGAATATTTGAGGCATTCGTAATATGTTAAATTACAGTGATTTAAATTTTGAAATTATTTTTTCCCGTTTTATTTACTTGCAATTAAATCATGTACAATGTGTGATTAGGAATAAATGCACCACCAAATACTAGCAACCAAAAATAAACGATATACTATGAATTGGCACATAATTGAATAATTCACTCAAGCAGAATAAAGCAGCAGTGATACAATCATTTAATATGGATTTCTTATATAATATTGAAAACAGAAATTGTCTTGTCTTCTATTTACTTGGATGCACTTCTACCCCTTGCAATTCGCATATTCCAATAAAAGATGAGGAGCGATTGTCGGTGACAGGGTTGGTGCAACAGGTGGTACATGAGGTGATGCTGTTGAGGGCAGAGACGGAAGAGGATTTAGCTTTGCTTTATATATTGGAGGAGTCATATTCAATATTTCTTTTTCTGTGGAAAGAGGAGGGAGCGATACACGTGGTCAAGCAGGATTGACCTCTGCATGCAGCGGAGTTATTTTTTTATCTTCAATTTTATCTTCATAGCTCTTGCAATGACGTATCGAAAAAAGTGCACATGAGAAATGACCTACTTCCCCACGAATCCGTTACGAAACCCCCAGCCGTATACCTATTACCCTGGAAAAAAGGTTTTCTCGAGAGAATTCACATACACCCCACGATGACCAGAAGCTCTGCAACGCACAGAAAAAGCTTCCATTCCTTGATGCTGCTGTCGGTTCAGCCTTTCCCAAGTTGAAAAAACGGACCTCCTTGGAATCAAGGTCCAAGCAATGGCAGCATCTATTGCACCGCTCAGCAGCTTCCCGATTTCCCATCCAAAACGCTGATAATCCAACTCCAAGAAATCTAGATATGTTTCAGGTGAGGCCAAGATGTCTAAACTGCACCTGAAAGTAAGAAATTAAATTAATTCAAAATTTGCATTCAAAATTCAAAACATCCTTCCTGAACAAACAAACAAACGAATTAATAAAAACAAAAATATAACGAAAACTTGCTGTTACGCATTATTATGCACATGATGCACACGTCAATTAATATGTACATGTTCAATCTATTAAGGGATATTGTTAAAAAAGATATCCAATAACTAAATATATGCACGAATGTATGTACAAAATGAAACAAATAGATATATAATTGCACATAACAAAATTTCAATGACTTCTTTACAAAGAGATCTTCACAAAAACCTTGGACTTTGGACAATCACGCCCCAGATGCATGATGAGATGATGACCCTTCAAGTCTCAAATTTTGCAGCAGAAATCTTGGGTAGGTATAACAACCCACCAACATTTCTGGAAATGGGGCAGAACGAATCTCTCTCTCTTCTCATAACCAGAGGCTCTGCAATGCTGCATAACCCATGGATTTGAGAAACCTTTACTATTGTCAAGCGTTTGATAATGCAATTTTGATTAAAAAGAAGAAAACTTCATATAAATCTGAGACCCTCAATTTATCCGATGAATACATACAATCCAGATAACATGAGTAGGTATAGGTAAGATCTCATTTCATATTTATCAAACCTCAGACATTCGTATACTACAGCTATGTACATACAATCCTATGAAACACAGCTAAGTATATACGTAGGTAGCTATCTGTGCATGTCACTTACATAAGGCGTAAGTGTTAAGTCGCTGACTGATGTTCGTCACTACGTAAATACTTTTACAGTTATTCTCCAGTCTGATTTGGTGTCCTAGGCGCCGGAGATGAGCTCAAAGCGACAGGCAGGGAGTTAGTTTCAGTAATCCTGGAAGTGGAAGATGTTATCCATACCATCTTATTTGTGGGGGAAATTATTATGTAAGTTTGTATTATAATTACATTTAATTATTTGTATTCCGCTGCGATATTAATGCTTGCTATTTGCAGAATTCTGCTAACCGTCGTCGCTTTATTCTTCTCAGTGTCAAGGAGGGCAACTTCTTCTTCAAATTCGTCAAATGCAAAAGTACTAAAATAATTAGTTAACAAGCCATAGTTACTGGTAACGAAGGGCTTAGTTACACATTTAAATTGGAAACAAAATGACCATGGTTGCCAAAAAATTGAACTACTGTTCCTGGGCATTATTCGGTGTTGGTCACGAGGGGCGGCGTACGCAGAAGTTACCAAATTGGTCGCATTGTTGGTTGAGCGTCTATGAAACCATTTAATTAAGATAATTAGATAATAAGCCTTGGTTGCTGGTAATTGTCACCTTAATTATGGTTGTATTTGCCACAGTTGATCAGCCTGGGTTACCGAGAAACGTGGCATTACATATGTAGTAATGCATTTTATGTGGATAATTAATCGGCGTTAAAAAACTGGAATTTTTGAAAATTATAATTTTCCTTCGCTGTAATCAACAGCTGCATCATAAATTACTCGATTCAAATAGCCGTAATTTCAGTCGAAGTAAGCGACGAAGTAATATTTTTGTAAGTGTGAACGAAAAGACAAGCGGCATGACCACATGTGTACAAATGTACTTGAAATGTACAAGTAGTCATTTTTTTCGATCTGCTGCTATTATAGACTAGTGACCTTTAATGCATCTTGGGGAAACCATTAAACTAGCGATTGAGCAGTGCTCATATTTTTGAATATTTTCTAAGCCCTTTTTAAAGAATATAAAAAATAAGTACCAAAATTGATAATATTATAATTACAATATTCTTGTCGTTTGCGTTTGCGTATCAATTCAATATACCCATCAATAATTAGGTCAGGAAACCATTTTTCGGGTAAAAGTGTAAAAATATCATTATCGTGAATACTTACATTTCCAATAGTAATCACATTATTTATAGAATCTATTGAGAATGGTAATATTGGATGGACGAGGGAAGGAGATGAGCTATGTATATACTGGCGTACAAATGTCAATGACTCGCGGAGATATCAAAATTGGTTGTTGGGTTATACTTATCGCTAATTTACTTCGCAATTGGTTTTCTAATTGTTTTATATAATCCTTTTGCTCCTTGATTTGTAAGTCGATAGATTCTACATATATCTGTTGAAATCGGAGTAAGTTCGTGGTCGGCTCCAGCTAAGCATAATGGGGCTATTTGATCTATTTCACTGAAAGCTAATGTAATTTCTTTGTCGTTTTTAATGGGATTATATACTTCTGGTAAATTAAGTGGATTGTTTGATGATTGTGGTAATAGAATTAGGTAATTTGAACTGTCCTTGTTTTTAATAGGTTGCGAATTCACTAATAATTTTATTCTAGTTGCGAATGGAATTATTTCTTTAATTTTTTTATATGAGGTTTAACTTTTTGTGGTTGTGGAAGATTTGGGAGATGTCTTGATGGGTCGTCAGGATACTGTATTGTTATCTCACGTGTGCGCAGTGTAACCACGGGATACTATAAAGTACAGTTGGTTTGTCTAAGAAACATATTCCCTTATTTCAACACATTTTATCACGAGTAATAAATCACGGCATAGAGTAGATCGGTAGCGTCCATTACGTGTAAGAGCACAAATCTATTTACTCATACCTTAATTACTAGCTCGCCCCGGGTTGTACGGAAGCTATTTAATTCCTCTTGTATCTCTGTCTCTCTGTCAGAGTTGCTAATTTCTGGTGCGGCGAACCACCACACCTAAGTTAAGTAGAGCGGGTCCTATGGGAACCCGATCACTAGGATTAATGGCCAGAAAATGGTCAAAAATGATTTTAAGACCTCACATTTTTGTAGAATATTATAAATATATCTAGCGTCCAATTTCCGGAACAAATAAGGCCTAAGTCCATAGTCAACATCGTGTTGAATGTTCTTCGTCACGCCTTCTATTACCGCATTTTTGGAAGACTTTGCAACTTCATTCCTAATTATCTCCTACCTGAATCGAAATTTTCTTAAAGTATCGACTGTTTCACAAAGCAGGGAGTATTACTTCTTACATAGAGTCCAAAATCTTTGGATGAGGGGAAGATAAGTGACATTTGGAGGGTTTTCATTTTTCAAAATCAAACTGCCATTTGATCACCATACATTTTGACGCCAACGAAATCGGAAATTTCGTGAGAAATGTATAAAAAAAATTTAATTTCGCTTCGGTTTTCACTTGAGAGATATATTTGCCACGAAAAAATTCTATTCCCGGAGTTTCTGGAACGTTTTTAAGGACGTAGGACTCATCGTCCGTCACCAAGTTTTTTGAGAAATTTTGCTGTAGAGCTTGGGAGGTCTTGCGTTTACCATTTTTTCTTGACCTTCCATATATTTTGGTGCACATCTTTTTGCATATGTTTTGACCCACAATTTATAGGCCTTAATATGATGCACGTAGTTTGTATTAATCATTGACTTCTTGACCGCATCAGGCATGAACGTGGAGTGACACTTTCCAAAAATAAATTGAATCGTTTTTAACTTTCAAGGGGTCATTATGATGGTTTTTACTCAAGGTGCGTATTTCAGGTTGACATTTTCGGATTCTCCATACTTTTTTATGTATGCCTCAATTTTTGCACGCCCACCCCCTTCTCCGTTGAAATGCAGTCAAGTCTTCTTCAAGCCGTTGTCACTCAAATTTTGGTACTTCCAAAAACTCGATTCTCGAGTTCGTCGCTTTGAAATGGTGTAGGAAATTTTTGTTTCACTGAAAACTTATGAAATTTTGGGGGTGCGTGGCTAGATATATTTGGCATATTCTGCATGAATTTCAGATTTCTAAACCCATTTTTGACTACTCCACCATTAAACTTCCTACTGAACGGGTTCCTATAGGACCCACTCTAAGTGAGCGCACCGGTTCGCCGAACCAGAAACTAGTAAGTCTGCTCTCTGTCCGTCTGTCAGTTCGTCTGTCTCTTTGTCCATCTGTCTGTCTGTTAATGAGTTTTTTAATCCATTGATAGTAAATAAATTGGACAATTTCCGTTCTTTAGGCCATTGGTATCGAACAAGCGATGACACAAAATGGTGCCAAAGAATTGGGAGAATTCAAGCAATACGCACCAAAAGTGTAAATTTAAAATTTTATTCAGCTTCGAAATAAAATAAAATAATACTTTTCTCCCAACAAGCCCACCAACGCGAGCATATCAGCAACCAGAATGATGAAAAATGCTGAATAAATTTCTGAAAATGTGATGGATTCCACTTTCATTTTGTAAATGGGGACACAAACTGGATACGTGTTCCGTTCAAAGTCCTTCCTTAATCGATTGTGTAATCCGTTTTCCATCGATTTTATCAATCTGTACAACAAACAAATAAATTACATACTTTTTGTCTAGCCTTAAAATGATTCATGTGTGTCATCGAGAAATGAGGTCAGAAAATTACGGAAAAAATACCAATATTACTTCATTTTGTGTCAATAAAATTTTCCTGAATGCATAATTCGAAATTTGGTAGAATTTTTACAATCTGATTTAAGAGATGATCATTTCAAAATTCAATATACTGTTAGAAATCTGGGTCATATATCAGTAGTCAGGTAGGTATCAGATATCATATATGGCTAAAGCTTGGTATTAATATAATACTGGATTTCTAAGAGTGTATTGTTAAGTAATAAGTTATTCGTTAAGTAAAAATTATGTCATTAATATTAATTACATAATTAAATTACAAAATGAAACAAGAATTAAATATGTATTATCATTAATTCATTACATAATTAAAAGAAAAATTATAATTTTCAAGATTTGTACTCACTTTCTATTAATGGCCTCCTTGTATGGATACTCCTTCCTGGTGTAGAACGCTAACGGAATAACCAAATTATCGAAGGGGACGGCTGAAATAAATTCGCAGATTTGCCAATCTGTAAAATTCCATCGTCTCGCCGCCACTCCGACGGCATCCTGCGATGTAACGAAGGCGTAACCTCCTTGCATAATTTTCCACACGGAATCCATCTTACTGACGAACGTGCTTCGCCACGTTACCTCTAAGTTTTTCTGCCAAATTTTAATTTCGCGGAAAAAGTTATTAACGAACGGTACCAATTTGAGTTTCCTAAACAAATTGCAATTGCAATAATCTGTTTAATTAAAATTTTTTTATACCTCAAAAAACGTAGACGTCAAGGGATTCGCCAATATTTTGAAGTTGGCTTTAAGTATCTTCGCAAATGTGGTGAAAGGGTTGTACGACACGGTCAATCTTGAAAGAACGGAGGCCGAGTAAATCGTGTAAACAATCCAGAAAGATGTCAATGCCTGGATGAATACAAGTCGATGCGGGAACCGAGCAGGCGTCTTCTTACACCCTGAGAATTCAAAATTACGCAAATTTTTAACACATCAAAAATTTTTTGTCAATTTGCAAATATTTTCTGGTGCAAAATTAGTTCTAAAAAGTTCCATGGTTGTCAACCAATTTATTTCTATGTAACTTTACTTAAAAAACTTGGGAATTTGGTAAATTACATAAATTGATACAAATAATGTTGAGAAGTGAGATTTTACTATTAAGTAACTTAATTTGAGTTATTGCTAATTTGCAAATATTTTTTTGTACAAAATTAACATTTCTCTAATTTAAATTGAAAAATTTGAATATTTGGCCATGCAAATGAATGAATTAGATTTAAAGATGTTTGCCCACGTGCTCACAAATATTTTATAAAATTTCCAAACCTCTTTGATAAAATGCTCCAAAAATCCAGAAGTTATTCCCACACTTTTTCTCCTCAGGTCGAAGACGTGCATCTATTCTGGAAACTAGGACGGCACACGTGACAATAATTGCTAGCAGGGAAATTAAGCCGAACCATGCTGGCGTCGAGAATGGTGTGATAAATCCGTCCTCCATCACATACTTTCTTGGGGGTCGAAACCAAACCATTATTCTGAAGAGTAATGAATAATTAGCTAAATTAAATAATTACTCTGATTTATGTACATATGCAAGCACAGGTTGAAAGAAAGGCAATTCTTTACTTGAATTGTGTGTAAAGTTTTTGCCAATTTTTGCACCATACAATACACACATTGTTTTCAATTAGGATTTGGGTACACAAAATCGATGATATTTTGCAAGACTGCATTCTTAAAAATAATGTTACATTTTTAAAAGGTAAATCCACTCTAAATTATTATTAAGCATTTAAATTAACGTTAACTTCAAATATAAAGAGTAAAGTTTACTCTGGATTTAGTATATTTTACGTAACTTGGAACCTGGAGTCCATTTACTTTTAACAAGGGGAACAACATTTTTGAGAGTGTGGTTTTCGACGCCTTCAATTTTTCCATTGTTGTATGAAATCAGTAAATATTTTAGTAAAATTTCCCAAAGTCGTTTACTCTACAAGATTTATAAAAATCTGGTAAGAATGTGCAGAAATATAATGAGAATTTCCAAACTCAGCACAAATTAGCCAATATATTAACATAATTTGTTATTAGGTTTTCCCCTGAATTTCCCTTCTTTTCTAATTTCAATTCTTTCAAACAGTCTGATTTTGCAACCGATTTTATTTGTTTTTGTTTTGTTTTGCTTACTTGTCTATATTTACGGGAAGTGTGGGGCTTAAGTGTTTTATTCTGTATCTTAACATGTACGACGACGCTATGACGAGATCGACCTCATCGTTCAGTAACTTTGCCCCCGTCCCACCCACCGTCGTTCCGTTCAAATCTGTGATAAATTCTTGCCCAGGAACAGCAACGATACTAAATTGAGAATTTGAAATTACAATTAATCACTTAGTTACTAATTGTACGTTAATCCATAATCAGAATTTGTAATAATTTGGTAAAAAAAAGTTGTATCATAATACAAGTGTTCCAACGGACAAAAAAAAACATTAGGAAAACATTTGTTACCAAATTGCAACCAATTTTAACACCATTATTTGTTCACCTAAAATGTAACGCGTCCCTTAAATAGTGTAAAATCTCGACAAAAAATCCCCCCACAAATTCCGAATGATTCCCCACGGTTTCCAATTTCGCAATAAATTTCTCATCATTCGAGTCCTACAAGATTTTAAAAATATGTTTTATCAAAAAAAGTGTAAAATTGACATCTAATTGTGGTTGATTAATGAATAAATATCCAATTAATTACTTACCACTGCCGAAACTCTGATAACCACTCCAGACAAGTCTTCTTCCATCCTGAGCCCGTCCAAGTTTTAAATTTTATCATTAAGCACTTTTTTAAATATAAGTTCTGCTTATTAACAGATTTCCACGAATTTTATTACTTAACATGACAAAGATTGAATTATTTTTAATTTATCACATTCTATAGGAACAATTTCGTCGGAAATTTTCATAAGTGAAAAATAAATCGCAGAAAATTGTTTCCACAATGTTCCCATGCTTCCAATTAATTTTTTTCAAAATCATGCACATCACAATATCTGCAAACAAGCACTATAATCACTTTAAAATTGAGCCACATCCAATAAACAAGGACGAATCAATAAGCAATTACATGAGTTTTTATGCATGTGATATTTCTTTTAAATTCAGCCAGTACTATGTTCACTTTAAACTTTCAGGCTAAAATTTAACCATTACTAAAATATATGTCGGACCACTAGAAATGTTTGCCATGCACTCACATAAATTTATTACCCTAGTGAAATTCAAATGCTTACTATATAAATATACATATGTATTATATGAGTGCTTAACTTTCACTAACATATAAGTAGAAGTATTTACATACATAGGTATGTATAAATATGTAGATTGGATGATTGGGCAAATATTTAAAACCCAATTTTTCTCAAAACTTCCTAATTTGACGTCACTGTGCAATCCATATGTACACATCCTTGGAGTGAAATGGCTTTAAAACTCTATTTGATTACCAAGTGGTAAATTGGAAAAAATATATCGATTTTCAAAATAAATATTTCCTGGTGATGCATTAAAGTAGTTCTCTATTTATATGGTTGGTAAGTATTTATTAACTTCGATTGATGTAGCCTAGGCCTTTAAAATGATACACAATTTCATCCTTAACTGGAATGAAAGTAATTTATTTTTTAAATAAAAAATAAAATAAAATAAATAAGTAAATAAATAAACCGTCGCAAACGCGCATACGGAAGTAGCTTCAGACTACTTCACCCCAACCACTCCCATGACATCGCGAAAACACTCAATTTCACTCCATTTCACCTATAGATTCAATTTTTTTAAATCTCATTTTGCCCCGACCACACCCCCTGGCGCGGAGGGGGTGTGGCACAACTCGGGATCACTTCATTTCACTCTATTTCATCCATAGATCAAATTGCACTATAAATCTCATTTTGCCCCGACCACACCCCCTGGCGCCGAGGGGGTGTGGCACAACTCGGGATCACTTCATTTCACTCTATTTCATCCATAAATCAAATTGCACTATAAATCTCATTTTGCCCCGACCACACCCCCTGGCGCCAAGGGGGGGTGGTCCGGTTGCCCCCAAAAGTTGATAGGATCCTCCCCCTAGGGTCATATGTATAATGGCGAAAACCGATTTCGATTATCTCAATCCGTTCTTCCGTTATCCTGCTGACAGACGGACAGACAGACAGACAGACAGACAAAGTCTTCGCATAAAGTAGCTGAAGCTACTTAATAAATAAAAAATAAATAAAAATAAATAAAAAATAAAAAACTTCTCCACTAAATAAATAAATGTTTCACTGTGCATGATGTATGTACATACATGGATTTCGAAGTTTGGTTTCCTTTCTAATAAACATGTAAATATTTTACTAACCTGGGCCAAATTCTATATATTTTTATTTAGAGTGAAAATACACATGCATATCGTAATTATTTGTAAGTTATAATAACGATTAAAATGATGATTGTACATATTTAAATATGTATATGATTGCTTTATTTGTCTCGAATTTTCAATTTGTCTGGGTCATATCATCCATCATCAGATAATTAGAGTTACATATTGTACAGTCGAGCCCATTAGCAAACAGATATTTGCAAGATAAGATATGCATGCATCCGAATCAGGGTTCTTTAAAGTTGTGTACATATATAAAGTGTTTTTGCATTACACATCCTCGTTTTTTAAGTTTATGCATACAGATTTGATCAATACAAAATTCATAACATGGAAAAGATGCCAAGTAACCCATAATTTTTTTTGGGATGGATGATTTTATTCATCTAAATACAGATTTTTTGAAATGTTACACAGTCAGTGCAAATGTTAAGCACTATAAAAGTGAGAAATTAGGTGAACCCTGTGTTTCGAGTGTCCAAATTTGTTCCACATCACCTCACTTACAACATTGTAAAACTTGCATTAAGCTTGCAGACTTAATTCGAATTAGTTCTGCTAAATTTTTGGCCCGAATTACGAATTGATTTTACGAATAATAATGTTAAGGTGTTATCACATTCCGGCAATTTTACTTGCCTTCACTTTTACTCTCACTCGAGGTAAGTAGGATATTTAACGGATGAAGATGCGGGTAATTTCTTTGTCAATTAGTGCATCTACGTTAAAAATCGTGACTAAAATAATTATTATTTTTTTAATTTGTGAAAATTACAAAAGAAAATCTTATCGATTTTACCAGGAAGCGTCCTCATCCCAGACGTCGCTTATGGATCGCATCCCGATCAAATTATGGACATTTACCTCCCCTCCAATGATACAACTCGCGTTTCCAAAGTTGCCGTCCTAATCCACGGTGGTTCCTGGGACAGTGGGGACAAAGGTCAGATGGCGGAAGTTGTCGAGTTTTTGGAAACATTTTTTCCCGAGATTTGCATCGTTAACATCAATTTTCGTCACGGTAATTTAAACCACTTAAATAATAATCATAAAACGTCATGAAGAAATTACATATTTTCTGCATTTCTCGAATTTCACTGCAAGAAACTGTCGCCACCTAGCAGTGCACACTTCGTAAAATACCATTTCAGAAACATTTTCTTCATTCAAAATTCATTCAATTTAACAATTAAAAAGTTTTTTATTATTCATTTTTTATTTATATATTTTATCTCAAATTCGCCTTATTAAATGAATTTTTCAATATTCCCAACGTCTGATGCATTAAATTAAAAATTAATAAGAGATAAAATTATCCCCTCATTCCTGATGAATATGAAACGAATATTTTTTTCGATATTTATTTATTCAAAAATTTTGAAAAAAATATTCGCTCATTCTAACCTCATAATATTTATTAGGCAACCATTCAAGTCCCGGGTTCCCCAAGCAGTTAGAAGACATCGACCAGGTAGTGACCTACATGAAAAACACCTTCATCCAAACAGTATCTTTCGCCATGTTTGGCACCTCTTCCGGCGGGCATCTTGCCGCCCTGTATGGTTACTACTGGGATAAGACAGCCCAAAATGTCAAGGTCATCGTGACCATTGTCGGCCCCACTGACCTCACCGACCCCGCCTACGACACCCACTCCGAGTGGGAACGATTCTTTAATTTTGTGGGACCCTGTCGCCACCAAGAATGTCCGGAACGGTACATCGAAGCCAGCCCAATGTACCACGTGGATGACAATTCCCCCAAAACGATTGGTTTCTTTGGCACGTTGGATTATCTCATTCCGCCCTCGCAAATGTATCGACTCCGTGAAAAACTGGATCAGGCCGGAGTTGTCAATAAATTTACACTGTATCCCGGGGGACATTGGGATAATTGGTCGGAGGAGAACAAGGCGGATACGGTGGTGCAAATTACACAATTTTTTAATGGGCATTGGCAATAGTTTGGAGTTCTTAATTGACTTTGAGATGAGTAATCGGATTTTATATAAAATTATTTCATGTATAAGTATATAATTTTAGACAATAAATTCAAAGTTGGTAAAGTATCGTTGAAATAATTCCGTTCAAACAGTTTGATTGACTTCTTTGTACATGCATAGGCTTAAAATAGAGTGAAAATTCCTAGAATATTTATCAAGTCTTTGTTTCTCGAAAATAAATTACACTGACATTATATTAATGACAAACTTGGTGGTAACGTGATTTGTGCTGGCAAAATTTTGCCACGCTTACAAAATCTCGTAACTTATTTTACGAAACGAGAAATATTATGGATACGAAGAAATATTGAATACCCCCAATATGATTATATGTATTTAGACTTTATTAAATGTTCAGATTATGTCGATAAATTTATAATTTCATTTTAAATAAATCTTTGATTTAATTAAATTGTGTGCTTGCACGACAAATAATTATTTAGGTGCAGAATCCATGGCTGTATCCGGCCCATTGGTGGCAGTATCCGGAACAGCAATTGCCCAGACTTCCGTCAGCTTGGCACTTGGCGTCCTTACCGAGACAGGCCCTCTTTACACGAATCGGGGTTGGGACATCCTGCAAAAAATAATGTTTTAAATTTTTTTTCGCAAAATACAAATGTGTACAGATGTATTCTGTCTAAAATAAAATGTCTAAAACAAACTTACAACTTCTTCGCCATCTTGCTCAATGGGTGAAGCCATCACGTCCACCAAGACAGCCAATACGACGACGAAAACGAGGAAATTAATCTTGGCGGAAACCATGGTGTCAGTTTTTTGAAAATTTATTTTCGGAAACGTGAATATGTAAGTATTTATCTACTCTCTCCAGTAGGCGAAAAGTTCTTTGGATGAAACTTGTAGAATTCTGTGTCCCTTTTATATAAAAAGATCTCAATCCCTCCGTCATATCGAACGAGCCGGTAATAAACAACGTCACCTAAATTTCCAAGAATTTTAAGATTTCGTGGAATTGTTTGTTTACAGCTTTTCAAATCTCAAAGTTTGTACCTGACCATTTGCCTGCCCATGTGCACATGCATCTTTTTTGCATGTTACAATATGTAACATACATAAGAAACACAATGTGTTTCTTGTGTCTATGAACATATTACCTGAGGTCTTGTCTGTCAGAACAGGTTTAGCATCACCTATCCCATCACTGCACTGCTTCGTAAGGCAAAGAAACTTAGCCTGAGATATCGACAAAAACAAACCTATTTAACTTGTTGCAATTAGGGGGTGTACATAAAGCATGTGGTCAATTTTCAGGAAATTTGGACCCCCCCACCCCCCTGTGTAACCTATTTCTAAGCAGCATGTCATAATCGTCATGGAAAGCATAAGATGCCTTTACCCTTACCCCTTCAAATCTATCACAGGCATTCTGCACAGTCATCTTCCATAAAGCTTGCCTCGATTTCTTGGAAATGGTTGTTTATTCACATCTTGTAGGGTATGCACATGTGTGTAACAGATTCCAAGAAATTTTACCTCACGCAAAATCTTGTGAGAGATGATTTCGTATAAATAGATAAGATTTGCCCAGATCGAAATTATGTCGATCCTCCTTTTCATAAGGGAAAATAAAACTAACTATTGCAGTTTAAATCAAGAATAAAATAGCTCCTTAAGTCCGATGGATTTCAGCGCAAACTTGGTAATGAAGGGGGTTGTCTTGCTCCTAGGATTTTTGGCCATGCTCAGCGTCGCACAGGTAGGTTAAAATTTTTGGCAGTTTCTTTTAATAGCGTATAGTTTATAAGAAATTAAACTTAAACCACAATTTATTGAAAATATTGGAATAAAATATTCTTATTTTTTGTATTTTCAGGCCTGCATTGCTTCCGGGCAGCCCTGCAAAGCCGACGCGAGTTGGGGGAATTGTTGCAGCGGTTTTTGCAGTCAACAAGCCAGCCTTCCATATGGAAATTGTCGCTAATTTTTGGCAAACAAATATGCACTATAAAAAGATGGATGTTATGTATTTATGGAAAGGTTATTAATGATTATATTTCTTACATAATTGGCCACTCACTTAATTATTAAAACAATTTGATTAGTACCAAATTAGACTTATTTATGAATTTGGCAATTAATTCATGATAAATTATTTACTAATAAATTCTATTATTTTTAAAAACTTGAAAATGGAATTATGCATTTCGGGTGAAAGAAATGACTTTTGTGTTTTTTTTAAGAGAGGATTTTTTATCATTTGAGTAATTTTTGCGCGGACTATGACAAACGAAAACGGTTAAAAGTTGTGGAAAATTGATGTACTTTCCCAAGTGGTCATACATACATACATAAAGTATGCTATCGATTTTCTGGAAATTTTGACCCCCCGTGTTGACACCTAAACGCTCATATGCATCGATGCCTTTACCCTTCAAATCGAGCACACGCTTTCTGCACAATCCCCCAGGTTAAGTAATACCCATTGAGCAAAATTTTCCCAACGGTTGGATGTATCTTACAAAATTGATGTGTGTGATCCTCTTTTTTTACTTTGGTAAATTTAGTACAACTTTTATTTATAGTGTAGATAATACTTAAGCTTCAAGCAAAATGACGCAAATTGTTAAGAAATGAAATATTTACAACGTTACTAATCCATCTAAAATTTACTTAGATAGTTCATAAAAATTTGCAAAGTCATGTTGCGATGAGAACACACGAACTTGTAATAAATACCCCGTTTATATTTCAAACATCACCTCAATACAGTATTATTACACTTAAATAATAGTTTATTAAATGTTCAGATTATGTCGACATATTAATAATTTTATGTAAATTCTTTATTAAATTCTGCTCTGACACTACAAATAAATATTTAGGTGCAGAATCCATGGCTGTACCCGGCCCATTGGTGGCAGTATCCGGAACAGCAATTGCCCAGACTTCCGTCAGCTTGGCATTTTGCGTCCTTACCGAGACACGACCTCTTTACACGAATCGGGGTTGGGGCATCCTGCAAAAATTATTATTTTTAAAAATTTATCTCATACATATAAAAAACAAATAGATATGAATTTCAGTCTAAAATAAAATTTCTAAAAAAACTTACAACAATTTCGCCATCTTGGTCAATGGGGGAAGCCATCACGTCCACCAGGACAGCTACAGCCACGACGAAAACGAGGAAATTAATTTTGGCGGAAACCATGGCGTCAGTTTTTTGAAAATTTATTTTCAGAAATGTGAATATGTATTTATCACCCAGTAGTAAATGTCCTCTGTATGAAAATTTTAGAATTCTGCGTCCCTTTTATATAAAATGATCTCCATTCCTCCGTCATATCGAACGAGCCGGTACCTCATTTACGTCACCTGAGTTTCCAAGAATTCTAAGATTTCGTGGAATTGCTTGTTTATAACTTTTAAATTGTCAAAGTTTGTACATACTCTGTATTATTCACCTGTCCAACTGCACGTGCATCTTTTGTATGTACATGTTGCAAAGCTGTAACATATTAACAGAAAAAATACATGTAAGTACATAAAATACCACATGTATGTACATATGTATTACCTAAGGTCTTGTCTGTCAGAACAGGTTTAGCATCACCCAGCGTCACCTGTCCCATCACTGCACTGCTTCGTAAGGCTAACATATCGCGAAAAAACAAGCCTATTTCACTTGTTGCAACTAGGGGCTGTACATAAAGCATGTCATCGATTTTCAGGAAATTTATACCCCCACCCCCATGTGTGACCTATTTATAAGCCCCATGTTATAATTACCATAGAAAGGAAAGGATGCCTTTACCCCTACCACCTCAAATCTATCACATATGTACATTCTGCACAGTCCCTTACATAAAATGTGCCTCGATTTCTTAGAAATGGTTGTTTATTCACAACTTGTAGGTTACACTTGTGCGTAAGAATTTCCGAGAAATTTCACCTCATTGAACGAACGCAAAATCTTGTGAGAGATGATTTCGTATAAATAGACCAGATTTGCCCAAACCAAAATTATATCGATCCTCCATTTCACAGGGAAAGTTAAACAAACTTTTATCATATTTTAAATGGCGAATAAAAGAGCTCCTTAAGTCCAATGGATTTCAACGGAAACTTGGTAATGAAGGGGGTCGTCTTGCTCCTGGGATTTTTGGCTATTCTCAGCGTTGCACAGGTACGTAAAAATTTTGGGCAGAGTTTTTATTAAGCGTCATTTATAAGAAATTAAAGTTGGACTACAATTTATTAAAAATATTGAAATAAAATATTCTTATTTTTTGTATTTTCAGGCCTGCATCGCTTCCGGGCAGCCCTGCAAAGCCGACGCGAGTTGGGGGAATTGTTGCAGCGGTTTTTGCAGTCAACAAGCCAGCCTTCCATATGGAAATTGTCGCTAATTTATTGGCAAAAATATTTGCACTGAAAAAATATCAATGTTATGTATGAAAAAGTTATTAATGATTGTATTACATAATTGGCCACTTACTTAATTGTTCTAACAATTTAAATAGTACCAAATTAGATTTATGAATTTGTCAATAAATTTATGATATATAACTGGAAATTAAATATTAATAAACTCTCGTATTTATAAAAACTTGGAAATGGAATTATACATTTCTTGGGACCAGGGCGAAACAAAATTGTCTGATATTTGGTATGATAATTTTGTGCATTAAACAGAGTGGCATGTTGCATAAACTCGTGTACCAAACACATGTAATGGTATACTGAATATACATTTAGTTTCTACACTTCCAAAAATTTACTACGATCACATTTATTCTTTGAATAACTTAAGGGTAACTACCATTCAAGATTATGATTGTGTGTCTTATTCAGTCAAGTTATTTATTATTGTTGGTAGGCAAATTATATATGTAGGTAGGTAGGAAAAATGGTTAAGCACCTTTTGGCAAATAAATTACTAATCAATGTATTTGTATATTAATGCTTAATATTCTAACTATTAACAAGCATCGATTCAATTGACCCACACGCCATGCGACACACAGCTTTACAATTTATAAGCGTGTAATCCAGAGTTAATTAATTGATTGAACAATTGGTTTAATCAACATGAAATGTTTGGTATTTGGTTGATAGACTAATTTTTAATTGATTGACATTACTCAACAATTAATATGAACAAATTAACTATTTAAATATTTACAGAAGAAGCAAGCTAACTGTCTGATTAATACAAAAATCCTGCGTAACCAACGCTGTCCCTCTGTCAATGAAATTACTCCCGACTTTCATCCTCATCGGTTGCAGGGACCGAAGTCTTCTACGATTTACCTTCAACAATCCCGGCTCCTTCTTCCAGTCGGCATACAGTTTTTCTGAATTGACGAAAAGTTGTGCCGCAAATGTCTCAAAGATAATGCACACCTTGGAGCAGGTGAAGATGGCGAAAGGATATGTCAAGTATCCTTGTGAAGGGAGCCGGTGGGACAATTTTATGAGCACGTAGGTGCAGAATATCTGCAATATGGGGGCCACAATGAGGGTCGTAGGGATCACGCGGGTTGATAAGGAATGATTAAATTTTTTCTCAAATACTTGCAGGCTCCGGTATAATTGTATTCGTCTGGTCAGGGTGACCCGGGCGATGGGATTCTCCATTCTATTTTACCAAATGTATATATATGATTATCAATTTGGTTGTTCTTTAAATAAAAATGTGCATTATAAGACTTAAGAAAGCAATTGTAGTGCTTTCGATATTTGAAAAAGTGGTATGTAACAAAATTCTTGCAACACCTAGCTATAATTTGGGACGAAAATTCCTTAAATACCGGTTGATTTTGCCAAATGCATAAAAATTACCTCTTCAATACGTCCAGATAGTCGAGCATGCATCCGGTACCGAGGATGGTGACGTTAATCAAGAGGAAAAATCCTCTCCAGGTTTGTACCGCGTTGTGATATCCTTCCACAAGTAGAACCATGAATTTTACCAGATTCCATACCAGGGCATCGTTTGGAACAAGTTGTTCCTGACAACTGGAACAATACCCGAGCAAATAGCCCAAGTAGGGCGGATTACATGGGTTTACAAGAAGCCGTCTCATTCTGGTGATTCCCATCACGGGAGACATTATACTCATGAAAGGTAAAAGTCGGCGGAAAATGGTGTTGCGTTGATTTCTGTCAAAATTGGAGGATATATACCAATTCAATAATGTTGGAAATAACATGGAGTGTATTCAATAAGTATTTTCGTATCGCAATATAATTTTAGAAAACTTGTACACTAAGTACATACAAAGCTTGTGGCGGAAAGTCTTATTTGAACAAAAAATCAAATCATGATTATGTACCTGTTAGTTATCGACTTCCAAGAATTTTTCTTCTCTGGAAGAATATCCATCTCCGGAAACGTGTTTCTAAGCCACTTTTCAAAATCGATCATCGTGTTCAGGAGAACCCCCGCCTTTTTGGCCAACTCTATCCCCATCCCCCAAAGGCATAGGATCAAAGTAACCAGCCACATGAAAATATTGGCCAGCATGGTGTACACGCAGCCCGCCTTGTACTGGCTGTACAAGATAACCGTGATCAATCCAAAGTAGCCGATTTGCAGGATTTGCACAATTTTTGGGATGATTAACCTGCATCGGATTTTGATCTGGGTGACGCGTTGGACAGAATTGTTCCATTCGATGGGAAAACCGCGCAGGTGCGAGATAGCGTTAAGGCTCCATTTTATTGTTTTAATGTGATCGTGCAACATGTTTTTCGAAAATTTTGTTACTCGAATGTTAAATTCGATGAGTGACAATTTCGAAAGTTGTAACCCGCAGAATTGTGAACTGGTCACTGTTTGCCGATTTTTATTCTTCGTGTTTGGAAACGTTGAATTAAAAATTAATAAAGTTCCAACATTGCTTGCAGTTTGAAAAGTAGGCGAAATTTTAGACTAGAGTACGTGGAATTCTAAACGTAGATATTGGTCACTTACTTATTTAGTTTGTCTAATCCGGGTAAAAATTTAATACCCGCCAGGTCCTCATATAGACTGAGAAATGAAAAAGAAACAAAGATTTTCAAATGCTAATTTTTTTTATAAAATAAAAATTCCATGATTTTTTCACAAGTGTGACTGTCTATTATGAAGAAACAAAAAACCGGAAGTATGTAAACCGATGCTAGAAATGGTACAAAGGGAGAATGCAAAAAATTTAAAAAATTCACATCCCAGCTCTTCCACTGCAAAGTTAACTGAAATTCGGAGCAGGTTCGAGGAATGTTGGATTGGTGTGCAAATTATTCATCTGAATTGTTTTATACTTTTAGAACAAGTATCGTCCTACTCGATTTTGGTAACGTAAAACGTCGCACCTCCATAAACGGGACGTCCATATATTAAGTCTTCAAAAAGGTGGATGGATGGTTTTGGGTCGCCTAACGTATGGTAAGATCGACGTGAGTAGGATAGTGAAGGGATGGGTGGGTAGTAAAAAAAAATCTGCTTTTTTAATCACGTAATATATGGACGTTCTCAAACGTTCAAATTACCCATATGTTGCCATTTTGCGTCAATTACTTGGAAACGTAGAATTAAATTTGTAATGGTGTCCTGCCATGATAATGTAACGGTTTCTCGTTGGCTGTGACCGATCCTTTCAACCATTCACAATACGGGGTACCCACACGGACCCACATACATTCATGTATCTAGGTTGAATATTTATAATTCAAAATTGATTGAAACTCTTTCTTGATTGGAGTGGTGTGCCCCTGCTGTGAAAATTATTGAACTGAATGGTTTTATCGAACAATAACGTCGGTTAAGTGTCGTCCATCCATAAATTTTGATACATAACTCAAAGAAAACTTTGCTATTTTGTGACAATTATCTATTTTCGTAGTGGTGGGAAGGTCCAATTAAATTTTTAAGGTTGCCAATTCGTAGTAGATAATAATACTTTTGAGTACATAACTGGTTTTTCAACGATTGTCGCCGTACTTTCCAACGAATCACGATACATGGCACATATTTATGTAATCGCACATTCAAGTGACATAGAGGCGAATTAAACGTACATACATATATCCGAGTGTTGGTTGCATATTTAAATTGCAGAATTAAGGGAAATCCTTTCTTGAATGGAGTGACATGTGCCTCGTGTGCAAATTATTGAAATAAATGGTTTTACCTGGAATTGGTATCGTCAAAGGTGATTTTGATTACATACGTACAGTTGTGTAGGCCTATAAATGTTTATAACTCTTCCTAAGAAAATATTGCTATTTTGAGTAGTTTGTGACAAGTATCTATTTTCGTCGTAGTGGGAAGGTCTAATTGAATTTTTAAGGTTGCCTATTCCTGGGGGATCTTAAATAGTTTAATGCAACTGGATTCCAAAAGACTGTCACCGTTGGTTTCAACTAACAATGGAGGTCTCCCAACGTATGCTCACAGATTTGGATCAAATTGGTGTCAATCGATCACAAATATAATTAGTATGAAATTTGCAAATGGAACCATCTGCCAATGCGCAGGTTTGGCGGATATATTTGCATAAAAGGAGGAGAAAACGCACCCTCAAGGGTGGCAAATTTTTCAATTTCCAAATTTGCTGCGCATTTATCCCGCTTTGGATGCAAATATCTCCGCCAAACCTGCGCATTGGCAGATAGTGCCATTTGCAAATTTCATACTAATTATATTTGTGATCGATTGACACCAATTTGATCCAAATCTGTGAGCATACGTTGGGAGACCTCCATTGTTAGTACACACAGTATAGGGTGCATACACAGTGACATATGTCCTTATCCTATTTCTTTTTCTACAGGTTAATAACGCCAATTGTTTTTTTCGTACAAAATAATACTTCTTGTTAGTCACAATATTCTTATAAATTTTAAGGTCAAACTAGCCCATTGTCGTAACTGCATTGTATCATGATGTATTGAGTATTTACCTTCTTAAAAAATTTGTAAGTTAACGATTTGATATGGTGACTCCTTTTAAATTACATAATCTCACCCGTGACAATTCACCGTTTTTAACAATATATTGATGGTATGAATTTTCGTACGTTTTTTATTACATATGTATGTAAAAATTTTAATTAAAACTCAAATTTGTTAAATTCGATTCATATCCTTACGATGTGGATGTATGTAAATGCTGAAAATATCGGCCACATTTATAACAGGTTATGTGTGTAAAATTATGCTTATATTTATGTAGGTTTGTATCTACTTAATTTTACAAGTTTTAACACTTTAATGGAGAAACGCCAAAAAAATATCAATGCCATTTGATCTTGAACTTTGATAAGAGTAACACTTATGCATTTGTGCTCTTGCTGATAACCGTTTTTCTGGTATTTACATACATATTATCATAATTAGCTTAATCCTTTGATTGAACGATCGGCACTTTCAGATTCATTAGTCAAATTAATCCAACCCCTTAATGTAATTTTTGATGTCAGTAATTCTATACGTCACGACGTAAACATTGACGTAGGTAAAGGTTTCACCAATTACATATATTAAAGCGTTATGCATGTTCAGGCAGGGGCCCATTTAATTGCCCAATAATATTTACCTAAATATTAATTGGTTCACTTATTAGGGATACCTTTTCTATGATAGTTGAAAAATGAGTTCCAATTTAACTTTTTGCATGCACCATCCTATGTTTTGATTGCAAAGTGCAAACATTTTTCTGCAAAACCAATTTGCCAATTTTTTAATAGCCTTCAAAGTTGGCGAAAGTGGGGGTGGACTAGGCGGAGTGGGAGCGTGTGGAGATGGGGGCGGTCGTGCCCCCATCTTTATCATTTCCTCGAGATTATAATTATTGCGTTCGATACTTTCAATCTCCCATTCCTGCGATGACGATTCTTCGGAACTTGTGTCGGTTTGATCAGCACTGTCACCGTAAATGTTAATTTCATCGTCACTGGCAATTTCTAATGCATCGAGCGTTTCAAATGTACTGGTTGAAAAATTTAATTTAAAAAGTAAATTTTCGATTAAAATCAGTCCTTCACTTGCTAAGTCGTTTAGATTTAAACCACTGTCAATTATAGGTACTCCAGCGGTGTCATATTTTAGTTTTACTAATTCTAGTAATAATTCGCACACTTTAATGATTTTCGCCATATTTAGTGTGGTAATTGCTAATATGATTACTTAATTGAACAATTTTCAGAGAATTTTTAACAAAAGAGAAAGAGCTGATGACTAAAATAACAACAGGATATAAGTATTTGGTGCGCAAACTGGGCAAACTGATCGTACCACTTCGCACAATGCCATCAACATGCATCATTTTTTTTTAATTCACTTAACTAAGTTTTCTTAGTTAAGTGAAGTTTCTTAGTTATTACAATTAATTAAATTTCAAGTAAACATAAGTTACTAAATTTATCAAACATAAGTTACTGATGGATTTCCTTGCGTCACACAGATCATAATGACCGTCACAGGTGGTTCGTGTATAGTGGCGGGCACGACCGCCCCCATCTCCACACGCTCCCACTCCGCCTAATCCACCCCCACTTTCGCCAACTTTGAAGGCTATTAAAAAATTGGCAAATTGGTTTTGCAGAAAAATGTTTGCACTTTGCAATCAAAACATATCATGGTGCATGCAAAAAGTTAAATTAGAACTCATTTTTCAACTATCATAGAAAGGGTATCCCTAGTTAGTGCCAGGATTACGGACATTGTTAGAAGTCTGGAATAGTCAAGTAGGCAGGCGTGGGTTCGATTTACATATGTACATACATATTTGTCACGGCAAACGAGAATATTCCGGAAGATTGGGACCAAGAACTATAAAACGGTCCTCCCACTGTAACGGTTGCTCTCACGGTTTTTTTTAGAAGTTAGCCTCTATTCCCGGTTTTCGCCCCCCCTGGTGTTTCGGCAACTGCGGTAGCACCATAAATCGAACTCTCACTGGCAGATATTGATTTATCAGTAGTAAAGTTACTCCAGCTTAGCATTTAAGTTAATCCAATTCTTAAAATGTGTCATCAATACGGCAAAACTTTAATACCGAACAATTACTGCGCGAGATTAATAATCAATTGTATTGATACGGTATGTATGTATACGGTTCTACCAAAGTGGTATTGATTCAATATCGCTTTGGTAGAACCAAATGTGTATGAATACTGATTGGAATTATTTTAATATTGGATTTCTAAGAGTGCAACAATTCACAGTTATTGGCAGGCTTACGTGCAACCATTTAGATTATCTACCTGCTTACCTGGCAAATTTAGCAACTAATCAGTAACCACACCGCCTGAGTAAGCAACTACTCCTTTGAACAATGAATTTATGTATCTATAAAAGGTTAAAACGTATGTATCTTCTTCTCAAGTTTTATTAGTTTAATCCCTTCCAAATTAAGCCGACACAAAAATAATCTTAATCCTTATTACCACGACGAGAACACTAAGGTATGCAACGAGTTGGCCAATTACACGATATGGAAAAAATTAATAGCGTTATGTGGATAAAAGCTTCGTCCATTTTTATTACTGGCTACTAAATCCATAGTATAATTCTCCATTGTTAGTAGGGCTGTTTCAGAGGTCAACGCCGACCAATTTATCGGCGGCGGCGGCGCCAATTTTGAAAGATTTTTCGGCGGCGTGGCGGCGCGGCGCCCCAATGTTGTAGGAATAGGAAATGAGATTTATCGGCGGCGTAAAATAATCCATTAATCTATTAATGGGGAAAACACCTTTAAATACACAGATAATCTATGCGATTGCGGACCAATCGTGATTTTTGATAAGAAGAATACTTATTCATTTGCAATCATTCATTAATTAAGTCCTTCACACATTAATCCAAACCTACAATTAATTCCGTGGGTCACCACGTAAACATTGAGGACGGCAAAGGATTCTCAAATTATATAAAAGTTTTATGCTTGTTAGAGATCTATTTTATTACCCATTAATAAATACTCTGTGTTATTGACAGGATTACAAAGCAACAGTATGTATGTAATAAATGCATGGTTATCTGCGTACTTGAGAAATTCAGCAACTATGTAATAATAAAAAAACCACGCCTAACTCAGGGTAAGCACTCTGGGAACATCCATACATGACGTAATCGAAAAATCGCCGAGTTTTAGACCACTCTTCTACCTCTTCCCTATCCTGACATGTTAAGCTTAGCACGAGTAAATTATGCTACCTAAACCCACATCCAGCCTTCTTGATGACGTGCGTTCCCTCTGTGAATATTCAATCTGGGCGTATACCGTATTCGTCTCTTTACGTATCAGTAATTTCATCGATTATAATTAATCCAGCACTTACCTAAATTAACCTTAATCCTGCTTATCACGACGAAAACGTTTCCCTGCATATGTATGTACGGAAAGAGTTCGCCAATTACTAAATGTAGGAAAGAAATATGCACGTTAAACCCATTTTTATGAGAGATTAATGAATCGTTTGTAATTCTTCACGATACATAATGCGGATTCCGGAGGATTGTATTTATACCTCAGATTATGGGTGATTGCAGCGTTCACCCGTCTATAAAAGCGATCCGATATTACTAAAGGTTTGTCAGTAACAACTCAACAATAACAACGAACGCTCCCTAAATAAGATTGAATTTGGTCTTAAGAGGTAAAAAAAAGTATCACACTCTTCCTTAACTTTCTGTTCTTAAGAATGCTTTATAGTAAAGCTATAGCTTTACAGTTAATTACGAATTTATATGAAATTACATATGTACCCTGCATGTAAATAGTATTAATTTATTACTAAATTATCACCAAGGCGGTAGAGTAACACCGGGTTTAGTAATTTTCTCAAGATTGTTGGTACATACATACTCTCCATCCACGCAGGGTTGAACTTTTACAGAAATTAAGAATTCTGAGAAACTACGATACTATCTGCCTCAAATTCCCTCAAATAATGCTGACGGGGATCTTTTAGACGAGCAGTGGCGTAGTTTCTAAGAATTCTCAATTTCTGTAAAAGTTCAATCCTATCTGGATGGAGAGTACATATGTATGGCAAGTGTGTATATATGTACATAAATGTCATGCATAAATTATTTCCTCCCCACTTGCAGAAAAATCCGCGACACCATGAAGTCAACGATGCTGTTTCTCGTCATTCTTCTTGTCGCATTGGTTGCACAAGGTCAACCAGCAGGTCTGTAAATACACTCTTAGAAAACTGGTACTAAATAATTAAATCATTAGAAATCAGAGCACATATGTATGTATGTATATGATTCTATCGGAACGCTAATAACGGAAATGATCTTTTAGTAATGTCATGGTAATAAAAAGTTTATCATTCCCAACCAGGCTCGTACCAATCCGGTAGAAAGTTAGATATTACCAAATAAATGCTAGGAAAGAGCATATATGAAAATACAGTCAATGGAACAAGTATTGGCAACACCCACACAAGCTAAATAAAATTGGCTATAACTTTGGCATGCATTATCAAATTAGCATGAAAATTTGTACGCATTTAGCAAATCTAATGTAGTTTTCGATTATAATCATGTTTTACTGATTAAAATTAGATTAACGCAGGTTTTAAATAATTTGCTGGAAAATTTGCGAAATTAACCCACAAAAAGTATTGGCACCCTCTAACTTAAAAAATCATTGAGCAATGAAACGACAATTTTACTGCGACAAAGTGCTTCTAGTATTATGTGGCACGTCCCCTCGAAGCAATAAGAGCAGAAATAGGCTGTGGAATTTATTCGACAAGTTCCTATATAACGTTTTTTTATATGGTTGCCCACAGTTCTTTTAAACTTTTGACACGCTCGTTTTTCGACTAGTGGTTTCCCATCGGTCTCTCTTTTCTCAACCCGGACAATCAGAATCACATCAGGAGACTGTGTAGCCAACGAAAGAATCTTAACCTTTTCGGTCTCCAAAAACTTCCATCGTTAATTTGGCTACATGTTTGGGGTCACTGCATTTTTGGAATATGAAATTTTTTCCTAGGTCAGGTTTTTGTTAAATGATTTCAAATTATCGTTTGGAATGATTGACAACACCTTCCTGGTCATAATTTTATCGATAATGACCAGGTAAACACGCCGCCATCTAGTCATTTAACCCCAAACCATAATCGATCCTCCTATGTGTTAAACTGTCATACGAACGTTTTAGTATTTCTGAGCCTTTTATTGCATCCGTCAGACCTGAACCAATTAATGAGCTCCGAATAAGTAAAATATGCCTATGTCGGACCAGTAGGCCCTTTTTCATTGATCGGAACTCTATTTAGGGCGATATTTAGCCCATTCCGATTTATTGAGGTGGTTCGCTTTGGGGACTCTCGCATCGGTCGGGCTACTGGAGCCTGAAACCCCAAGGCATAATTTTTAATTGATCACCAAATTGAATGATATGTTTGCCCCACAGTTGGTACTGCAATTCGACATGGATTTGGGGGCTAAAATCTTCCGATCTCAAGTGACATGTTGCTTGATTCATCAGTAGATTTTGGGCGTAGGTGACCTAATTCCTCCGCATCATCGAAAAGTAGAAACTGAGATTATCATTCTATATTTCTTTGCTACGTATTCAATAGTAAATATGGAAAAGTATATCTTCTCTTTGATTTTTCGATAGTAAAGCGTTTTTGTGAAAGAGGCATGATTATTTCTCGCCGCGCCAAATACAGCTCGTTTGGTGTCGCCATTTTGGCTCCAGACAACACAACTGTAGACTTAAAATGTAGCTAATCTCATATTTTGCCACCTAATTAACTTACCATAACGAAATGTGGAAGATGGTTAAGAAAATTGTTTCGAGTAATTAATTTGGCCACATGTTGCCAATACTTTTTGCAGGTTTGCATCTGACTAGTTGGGGTCAAAATCAGGATTGTGTTATGTTTACTAGATTTAAATCAGAAACATGATTATAATCGAACACTACATTAGATTTGCTAAATGCGTACAAATTTTCATGCTAATTTGATAATGCATGCCAAAGTTATAGCCAATTTTATTTAGCTTGTGTTGGTGTTGCCAATACTTGTTCCATTGACTGTATGTATGTATGTGCATATTGAATTATAAGTCTTAAGATTGTTACCGATTTTAAAATTATATAGGGGTCCGTAAAAATTTCCCACCGACTTAAAAAAAACTCTACAAGCGACCCATTATTACGCGGCATTACTTATCATTACCACTAATCATATATGAATACCGTTTGACATTTTAATACTGGGTTTCTAAGTGTGTGCGTTTACGTATTTTAAAAGTCTTTTAAAACTTTGACCCCCACACCCAGCTCATCCGTGACATAATTTTTGGACAACTAATTTCATTTTATGATGTTGTTTTATTTTCTAGGATTCTGTAAAGATTTGGAGGACGCTTGTGAACGCAATCGTGGCGACTTTCTGTGGTGCGATACTATTCTAGAGGTTAAGGCATCTTGCTTTATTTGGGACTCTCCTGACAATTATTTCGAAACCACGTGTGAAGGTTTCTCGTGCAGGTATCACGGTACAACGGCTATGCGCACTTGCACATGCGGGCCATTGTAAATTTGAAGATTTAGCGGAATTAATAATTGAAAATCATGGTGTAATAGTTTCCATCGCAAATTAAAAAAAAATAATTATTATGCATAAATAAATTTGTTTAACTTGTCAGTTATGTTCAATTATTTGTCACGTTTGACCTTTAATTCATACAATATTGTGATTGTTATCATTTAAATCAGAGATGCTGTGTGTTCCGAGTAATTTGGATAGATTGGCATTTATGTATGTTGATATAGTTGAATTATTTGATGCACGTTTTAATAACGGCACGGTTTATTTGACAACTTATTTATTTACATAAGAAGCAGGCTGACTGTCTGATTAATACAAAAATCCTGGGTTACCAACGCCGTCCCTCTGTCGATGAAATTACTCCCAACTTTTATCCTCATCGGCTGTAAGGATCTAATTCGCCTTCCATTCACCTTCGTCAACCTTGTCTCCTTCTTCCAGTCGACATAAAGTTGTTCCGAGTTGACAAAAAGTTGTGCCGCAAATGTTTCAAAAACCATGCAGACTGTGAAGCAAGTGAAGATGGCGAACGGATAGGTCGAATATCCCTGTGGAGGGAGAAAATCCGAGAGTTTGATGAGCACGAAGGTGCAGAATATTTGCAGTATGGGGGTAGCAATGAGGGTCGCAGGGATCACGCGGGTTGATAAGATCTGATTAAACTTTTTCTCTAATACTTGTAGACTTCGGTACAATTGTATTCGTTTGTGGAGACTGACACGAGGTAAGGGATTGACTGGGTTGGCCATCCTATTTTAATTAATGTACATATTTACGTATTAATTAAACACATAAGTAAATACATTTATTTATGTATGCATTTGAATTTTGGTAAATTAAAATTACCACCGCAGTATATCCAGATTCAGAGTCTAACATGCATCCAGTACCAAGAATTGTGACGTTAAACAAGAGGAAAAAAGCTTTCCAGGTTTGTAACGTATTGGGATATCCGTCCACGAAGACGAACATAAACTTAATCACATTCCATACACGGTCATCCTTTGGTGCGAGGTCTTCCTGACAGGTGGAACAATATCCGATCAAATAGCCCCAGTAAACAGGATTACAGGGATTAGCAAGGAGCCGCCTAAATCTTGACACTCCCGTTACGGCGGCCATTATGTTCATAAAAAGTAACACGCGGTGGAGAATAGTGTTGCGTTTATTTCTGCCAAAATTGAAGATACGCATCTAATCCTAAGTTTACTCTAAGTTATTTCTAAACAAATGATCCACGGGCTTGTCCAACTTAAAAGAACGTCCATAAATTATTCCACGCAAAAATACCAATTTTTCTGACCCCTTCTACTTATCACGTATTAACTTATCTAAGATAAGGTATCTGCCTATCCCAATAAGCTTTAATCTGCTCACTCCCTCAGCCGTGACATCATTTGTGGACATCCCCTATTGAATTTTATAACCTTTCATCTTTCCCAAACTTACCTGCTGGTTATCGACTTGTCCAAAATTTTCTTCCGTTCTATAATGTCTATCTCGGGAAATGTGTCTTGAAGCCATTTTTCAAAATCAATCATCGTGTTCAGTAGAACCCCTGCCTTCTTGGCCAACTGTATCCCCATCCCCCAAAGGCAAAGGGTCACGGCAACCAGCCACATGAAAATATTTGGCAGCATGGTGTAAACACATCCTGCCTTGTGTTGACTGTACACGACAACCGTGATCAATCCAAGGGTCCAGAGTTGCAGGATTTGCACGATTTTTGGGATGATCAATCTTCCCCGGGTTTTGACATTGACGACACGTTTGGCAGAATCATCCCATTCGATGGGAAATCCTCGCACGAACGAGATTACGGTTAGACTGCATTTTATTATTTTTATGTGATCGTGCAACATTTTGCTAGTGAGGTGTTGAGCGTATATCACTTTCAAATCTGTTTCAATTTCTGAAAATGTCGCTGTAACGAGAACGACTTCATTTTAGACAGGTGAAATCGTCACTGATCTTTATGCTCACGTCTGGGAAAATGTTAGAATTAAGGATTGATAAACTAGTCCAATTCCAAAATTACTTAACAGTTTGTACATTTATGGCGATCGTGGAATACTAAATTTGTTTATCGTGTGGGTTCTTTGCGTAGAATTTTTATGCCTCCAAGTTGATACAAAACTATAGAGGGTGAGCAGCAAAGAATGCGAAAGCTCTGCAATTGCAGATACAAAAGCGAAAACGCAAAATTTTAAAATTAAGAATAGTATTGCTTTTTGAGAAATGCAATTACCACCGAGAACCCGAAAATGAAAAATCTCTATTCCGAAGGGTTCAAAATGCAACTTGGCTTTCTAAAGTACAAATTTCTCAATCGTTGCAGGGTCGTTTTATTTATAAATAAGTTAAATTTAATTTATATTGCTACTTAATTTTTTGTGTGCATTCAGAAATATAATATGTTGTCAAAAATTGGGATTAGTATTTCACGTAGATTTGAATATTTTAAGAAGTGTCCACATATTGTAAGTGTCAGGACATTTAGGTCTGCAGAAACTGAATGGATGAATCAAATGTAATGCAATTTTTGTACGATACTAATGATGAGCATACCGAAATTTTTCAATCGTTAAGTGGTTCAAATACACCCTCCCTACCTTTGGAGCGAAGACTTTGTCGCACACCTCTAATGAGCGCTTTGCCACTCGTTTGGCCAACGTCTATGGCGAATTTCTCCAAAACCGGCTGATATTTTTCCAAATTTTTTGGTGTCCTCTTTTTATGACAGTATAGTTTCTCAATTTATGCAAAAAAACTTTCAATGTTTCGACACTGAGGTACTTTTGGAGCGCTGTCTTTCTAATCGACGAAATCAACTTTTTTTCCTCGAAAGTACTCTGTCACTATTTTGGTATTCTAGCCCGTAGCTATGTTCGGCCGAAATAAAACGTTTGTTTTTGATAGAGGGGGTCACTCTCCTGATGATACACTCTTCGGTATAAATCCAAAAGTTCACATTCTTGGTGGAGCCGAATGGATTTGAGACGTTCCCATTTTTGTCGATCTCCGGCCATTTTATGTATTTCATTGGAAATTTTGCTTGGCTTTGAATTTATATTTCCAACGAACGTCATTTTTACTTCTACATGAGTAGAACATTACACGATTGACGCTTCGAGATCAACAAGCCATTAGTTTTCATCATCCACGACAAGTAAATTCTGGGAATCGATTTCAACATTTTCTCAAAAATTTTTGGAAAATTTGTTTTAGCTGCGGCCTTTTCATCTTCATTGTATTTTGGCGCGGTTTAAGTGTTGTAAGTTTTGAAGCCCATTTTGATCCAAGCTTTGATCCTGCGAAGATAGGTTTTTGAAATTTTTATTTTTATTTGTCTGGGTGCAAGCCTCATGGACCTGTTGGAGTTTTCTGCAAAAGTTTCTTGCATGTTTCTCGTCAGTGTTTTGGTCTCCTCGCGGACAGGTTGACAATACCAAATTTTATATTTTGAATTTTTACGATCCATAGATATGAATAGTGTATGACTAATTTTGTCCGGTGAATCCCTTGAGGAACGAAATGGTCATGAGCCCTTTTCCGATCCGAGAAATACACTTTTTTGACGGAGTGGCAAACTAATTTTTCCACTTCCTTTAAATTTTGTGCTATCATTTTTTAATGAAAAGAGATAATCAAATTCTGTTTTCGGTTTTAGAAAGCTTATCAAATTTGCCAATTTTTATCCATTTTTACATACCCCAAATTAATTTTGAAGTGGTTGAAAAGATAGGGGGAACCTTGACACTTTCAATATGTGGACACTTTATAATTGCTTGTTTTCGGATGCTTGTTGAGAATTACATTTACCTCGAAACCACTTCACCTTTACAGTAAAAATCTGCCCGGGTAAAATTTTACTTGACAAATTTTACACTGTCACACACATGTATGTATTTAAACACCAGCGTGTGTGCATATAGTAGAATTATTTGTGCGTGTCACCTCATTTCCATGTTTTTGTACATTTCGTCGAAAATGGGCATAGCCAGGTTTACGCAAATGAGGTGACAAGCCCAGGTAATAGCACAGTTAGATGTTCATTGTACATACATATGTTCAATGTAAAAATGTTGGCATTCTTTATTGGTCACCCTCTATCGTTCGTAAGCACCAATGCATTTTTATAACGGGGTATATGGGAAGCTTTATGTGGCCACAAAATTCTTCCCGTTATGTAAGTAGAATATTAATATTGCAAGATTAGATAAGTAATTGAAACAACTGGAAATTCTTTCTTCACGGAGCGGTGGACAATTGGCATGCAAATTATTTATAACTAAATTGTTTCGTTTGATAGATTCCATCCATGGTTACGTCAATGCAGCCTCGTCCATATGTAAATCGTCATCAATACCCCAACAAAATATTGAGTATTTTATGGCAATTATTGTTCTCGTAGTGAAAGCATCAAATTTAATTTATAACGTTTTCTATTCGTGGGAATAAATAGTAGTATATGAAGTATTTACATCTTAATTCCCTGACCGATTTACAGGCTTATGTAAATGGAGAGTCAGACATAGTTACGTAAATAGTTTTTTAGGTCAAACTCGTTAAAAATGATGAGATAATGGTTTAAGTCGTCTGGAAATTGATTTTATGGCATCCGTGCATATGGTATGTATACCTAGGATTTATGTCACTTCTAGGCACCTGAAGTGCATAACTAAAATTGAAATTACTGATTATTAGGTAAATAGGTTTGCATGTAATAATGAAAGACTTTACGACCTGATAGTAAGTGCACTCCAAATAATTGGGGACAAATGTATAGTGCTGAATTTTTTGAGAATAATTAACAAAACGATGTGTCACCTAGTGGAATTTAGTTTTAAAAAATTGCGTACCAAACCAGCATTACGTTTCAATTAAGAAAAGTTAGCATTTTTATCCAAATCCAAGATTTTTTGCATCAAAGTATTGACTTTTTTAAATAACGACGTTGCTTGTGTTTGGTGCATAAGTTTTTGCCTTATTTTCTATTGGTGAGAAATTATAACCTTAATCATTACCCAAAAATTATATCTCCCCTGGTAACGATTTCTAAGTATATTATTTAGTGTGTGTATGTATAATAGCGATTATTGAAAGT